CATTACAGTAGGCAGGAAGGGCCACTGCATTCATATGAACTCTCAAACCACCAGTGCACCAGACCTTGAGCTTCAGTTTCCCTATTGAAGTATTGTTTTGGTCCTCTGCACCTCAATAGTGCAGTTTGTACAACTGCCTCGTGTACGGCAGTTCAGACCTCCCTCTGGTATGCAAGTCTACATGCCTGTTTCCGTAGGGCGTAGGCACACCATTTACAAAATGTAACTTCCCATATTTCATGGCGAAACCCTGTCTTTCTGTGTTGTCTATGGATATGTAGCATCTGACTTTAGCACAAAACCTTTAGGAATTGATGTGACCTACACTCCTGAGTTTGGCGTAAGGTGTAGTCAGGACCCCCCCCAAGCAGACCCCTTGGTATACACGAACATTTTAGGACCAGGCCTGATTTAGGACCAAGGCATGATGTCATGCCTAAGTAGAAACAGAAGAACCTTACTTCTACTGGAATTCTCCTTGGAATTCCTCAAGAGTCATCGCCATGACAACCCTATCAACTAAGACGTTTATGTTCTACCTATTTGTAGCTTTATAGAAATGCACTTTTTTATCTAGCAAATAACTGGTTTGTTATGTTATTGTTTCTTGATATCTAATGCCTACCTTTGCGATACTCTTCTCTTATCACTGGCTAAAACTGCTGTCAAAAAAAACATTCACAGTCATACAAACCTACTCTGACCTTTGACCTAAAACATACATGTTTGTCCCAGCACCAGTAGTTACGCTGATTCAGGAAAAGATTTCTGACTTGATTTTCTAGCAAGTAAAGATATACGATTCCCATCATGGCCAACATTGGAAAACCAGAAATGTCATCAATTTCCCGGCTCAGAAAATTACTGGCATGGATTTTGGATTACGTTAGCTCCATTTCGTGACAGCTAAGTATTGAGAACGCTATGATTGAGCGTGTCCAGGCCGCAAGTCATCTATATGCATTGGTCAACCCCTATTGAACAAAACTGCAATTTTCGCAAAACTCTTGCCAACGCAACTGCTGTCAAACTTTCTACCGCCCAACTGTTACTAGTGCAAAGCTTGGGAAAAATTACAAAGTTTTGGGTCGCCGTCTTGTACATACCTCAAGCCTTACATAAAACTCTAATAGACAAGGCATGCAAGATGGCAAAATGCAAGGATTACCATAGGGAAATATAATGTGGCAGTATAAGAGGGGAGGATGCATGCACGCGTCCGGGCCTGTTCCCCGCAAAATCAATCCTGGTATTAAGGAATTATTCCCAATAACCGACCCGGGTCACATGACGGATCACCCTTCTGTTCTCGGGAATGAAAAGAAATGGACCGCAGCCCCCCCAGATCGTACCAAAGGCAGAACCCCCATCTGTGCCAATCCTAGCAGCTCTACTTCCTGACTCTCAGGCTCAGGGGGTAAAGACTTGCCAAGGATGGCAGTACTGTGGGGAATAGATACATACATGTACATTACAATCAAGTACTGTGACATCTTAGCTTGACAGTTCATATGTACTGGTAGAACTCATTATGAAACAGGACTTAACTGCGATTTTTAACATAGAAAATTGGTGAACCCTTGTTTTGCGTCGTAGACCGGTTCTAGCATTTTATGGGTGGTACCCAAAATAAAGAAGAGATACCTTGTTACTTGTTCTTGGGGCTATCTGTATGAAAAGATGACGAAGATGTGCTAAGAAATGGTAGTAAATATCGATATTACACAGATTTCCTCATCCTTGAATATTTTTTGGTTTGCTGCCTTGAAATTGCAATGGATGCCTATAAGACATTTCACAATGGCCTTGTGGGGAAACTGTAGCCTGTAATACCAGCTAATCTCATCCTGTTCACTATTCAAACACTGAGAACAATAAATGTTTGACAAACATGTGGTTTTCCAAAATACCTCAAGAAAAACAACCTAAACATGACAATGAAATAACCTTCTCCATGCTGAAGTAGCCTTTCATCAGTTTTAACACCAAACATGGGATGGGGTCGTGTGGTGTAGCAGCAGAGTGCACGACTCGGAACCTAGAGGTCCCGGGTTCGAGTCCTGACATGCCACCAATCCTGTGCCCTTGGGAAAGGCACTTAACACGACTTTCCTCACTTCGCTGAAGGTGAAAATGAGTATTGTCCTGTCATGTATTTGTCCCGTGTTGGTGGCAAGTTGAAAAAACTTGAGTGTGCCGTCACCATGTCTGGTGATTACATGTTGGAATAAAGAATTTAAAAAAAAACATGGTGTGGAAAAACTTGAAGAGGTGTTTTTGTGATGTCACTGTAAATCTCGAAATGTTTATGGTGGATTTTGCAGTGATCTCCCCAACATGAATTCATGACACCACAACTGTGTTTCCCATGTATTACAATTGTTACAGAATTGTTTCAACCAGGAATGTAAAAAAAACAGAAAAAAAACTAATTTTCCTTGCACTACATTATACAATTTAAGTTGCAGTAAAAATGAAAGAACTTACAGTATAGTGATGGGATAAACTACTGTGGCAGGGGTGTTAGGCTTCTACAATATTCATGATGTAGGTTCTCCTCATACCACTGACAATAATCAAAAATCAATGGACCATCTGCAGAACTTCTCCCGAACGAGAATTCCGAGATTCCGTTAAATGCCATTTCTGAAAGTTTGTTGTTTTCTTTTACTTGTCTTTTTGATTATGGAAATAAGGTTGTAATTAGCATGATCTATTTGAATTTATGGTTTCCTCAACTTAAATGACATATATTTTATATGTGGAAGTCCTATGCTTTGGCAATGTTTCATTTCAACATTCATCATCAATTATGCAAATGACCTCCACATTAACATAATATATGTGTCCAGATATAAGACCTACATACATACAAAATATCATCAAAATTCATAAAAATGTTCCTGAGCTATGCTGACCACAAATATGCAGAAACACAGACACACAGACTTAAGCACATACGAACAGATACACCAAAAACAATACCTCCATTTTCACGGAGGTAATAACAGCCTACTTCTGATATGGATCTGTCTCTTGATCTTCAAGAACAGCCATTCCGTCCAAGTCTGTTGATGCCGTTATCAAAGAAATGTTGTACAGCAAGTACAGTTACTACAACATGTACTTGTCAATACTGTGATGATACAAATATTGTCTGTACACCTATCAATCATTTTCTAACATCTCTTCATTCTTCTAGAGCTCCATTCATTTTTCATTCAGACTTCCTTCATAATCGATGCTGATACCTGTACCAGTTATGACACAAATATTGTCTGAAGACCTGTCAATCACTTGTTAACATCTCCCCATGACTCCAAACCTCCATTTTAGGCTTTTCTCCATGACAGATATCGTGTGTCAGTAACAGACTCCTCCATGTTTGTGCTGTGATACTAGTTATGATGCAAATATTGCCTGCAAACCTATCAATCATTTTCTAACATCTCCCCATTATCCCAAACCTCCATTTCAGAGTTTTCTCCATGGCAGACACCTGTAATGCGTCTGTACTCCCACAGTTTTACATCTTCCCATTATTCAAATCCTCCATTTCAGGCCTCTCTCCATGACAGACATACTCCACCAGGTTGGTACTGATACCAGTTATGACACAAATATTGTTCTCTCCAAGGCGGACACTATAATGCGTCTGTACTCCCACAGGTTTACACTATGACGACACAAATATTGTCTGCAGACATGTCAATCATTTTCTAACATCTCCCCATCATCCCAAACCTCCATTTCAGAGTTCTCTCCAAGACAGATAGTCACCACGTGTCTATAACAGACTCCTCCATGTTAGTGCTGTGATACCAGTTATGACGCAAATATTGTCTGCAATCTCACCAAAACTCCGTATTCAGTCCTTTTCCACAGTCAACACACATCAAGCCGGTACCTTACTCTTGCTGCAGTACATTACTCAGCTGAATCCACAAATATCAAGATTTATCCCAGACTTTTCAATAATTCCATAACCAGTTGCTTTCTCCTGAGAGTAATCAGGAGGTAGGCATCCAGAGAGTAAAAGGTTAAAAGTCAGGGGGTAGTGAATATAGGGCTGCCATACAATACTGAGAAAATCAATTAGGTACAGGTCTGAAATACAAATCACAATGGGCGAGTTTACACAGGCAAAAAATCATTTGCCCTACGATGAAGGACATATTTTTATTATCTTGTAAACACTACAGGCAACAAAACCATATGGTAATTTTTGCCCGTCAGTAGCAACAAAATTCCATCAAATTCAAAATCAACAACACTGGAGAAAATCCTGTTGGGCTTCTGTAAGGGCTCAATTGAGTCTTGACTTGACCTCGACCTAAAATGAACTCAGGGTGAAGTCTCCAGGCTAGGAAATGCAGTGATGTGAGAATGTGACCCGGCCATGTGAACTGCTTACTTCTTATCACTGGCTGGCAAGGCTGGTGGGGTTACAGACAGATGAATGGCTACAAGCACTGGTAAAGGCTAGACTAGTGGGATACACATACATATGTACATGTACACCTCCAACTCTCTTAGTAAGGTACAAATCAGCCCCTTGGGCCTCTATTCATCACCCTTTACCTACTCAGTGTCACCAAACATCAACAAACTAACAAATCCAGCAATCATCAACTACTTCAACATGATTTATGGACTTTCCTTTATACAGTACCAGGAAGTCTTAGCATCATGTCAGCCAAAAAGTTTACAGAGACAGGCCTCTTAATTAATCATTGCCAACAAATACAAATATTTCCTAGCAAATGCTATGGATTTATCATTTATGACCACTCAGGAAATGACAGATCCCATTGTTGGTGGAAGGCACGATCAAACTCTAATTTTTAAACACAGTATTGGGTTCTACCATTGCAAAAGCCAAAAGGCACATAACATTACAAACAATTAAACTAAATACCTGAGGATATCTCTGTGCTTTGCATGTGATTATAATGATGTTTTGGACCATTGAAATAACAGTAACAGCCTAGAAAACTTACCTTTGTCGTCAGTTTCAACTTTTGGAATCACTTGCTGCCAAAAGTCTGCACCTGGAGAAGTTTGGGGAGGGGGGTAGAGAAAAAAAAGTGTTATAAAATATAATCACAGAAATATATGCATGTACAAAGCATCATGCATTTTGAGATTAAGTAGTACTGTAAGTTCTTGTCCCACCATTACAACTTTCTTTGATACAAAAATGAGCATCAAACGATTCAAAGGGCTGCAAGCTATCTACAAAAGGTCAGCTTAAATTAAGCGGTTAAATTAGTCTATCATCTCTTCTAAAAGTTATCTAAGAGGTACATATATTCCTAAAAGAATGCATTCCTCCCTACACTTTTATAGGTATTCCGAACGAACTAATCAGTATTTGCTGTGTGACTTCCTTTGACTCAAAGTTTGAGGTTGGGCCAAGCAAAATCTCCAAGCAGATCTTTTGATGGCTGCAAAGACAGTATCAAATTGGTCAGGCTGTATCCATTTGCCAGACAGTAACCATTTGCCACCCAGAAGTAAAAAAATATATACCAGTACAAAAAAGAAAGCCCAAATTACTCCAAACAACTTGTTACAACCAATCTTTGCACATTTAATTGCAGGAGTTGATGATGCCCCGACTGTACTTGGTGGCAACGAGCTCCACTCTATGATAGTTCTTTGAAAATACAAGTTTTGAACACACCAATTCTTGGTTGATAACTCTGATATTTGAAGGCATGACTGTTTCTTGTTCTTTTCTGGGCTGGGATTTATCATTAGATACTTAGTTGTTGGTACGTCCACCAGTTAATTAGTCATTTTGTACATCATGCATAGGACTAGGAGAGTAGGTCAAACACAAATGGCTTTGACACAAGGCCCTGCAAGGACGCATGTTTGGAAGTCTTCAGACTCTGAGAGCTCTGAGCCTAGGGGATTCACATGGGGGCCTCCAAGGGGGGGTCCCGACAACGCTCTACGCTAAATTTTGAGAGCCGGCTACGTATTACGCTGAATTCCGGACGCCTCTCTACGCTCTACGCTAAATTCGAAAGATTCCGAACGCACTATGCAGAACTCAATCACCTAGCAACTGCATGTTTTCGTGAAAACCTTTTGATTTATTACATGTAGAGGTGACATAACTTGAATTAAAAGTAGTAACCGGCGGTCACTTCCTTATACATTGAAAGTATAGAATACAAAACGGGGTATTCAGTATTACCGCAGGTACCAACTTGACCGCGAGTCGATCGCCCGAAGATCGGAGGGCGATCCGTGAATGGAGGTAACATGGCCGTAGCCAGGATTTTGAAGGGGGGGCCAACAAGCGCCGAAGGCGCGAGTTTCCTAGTTTTTGAAAATTGAACCTTCTGAAATGGCATTTCCTGCATTTTTAGAGGGTTTCAAAGAAAAAAATCAGAGATAACTTTTTCAATGACAAAGTGAGCAGTTTTCCTACGACGGATTCCAGCCTTGCTGGTGACACGAATCAGTCCGTCTTTTACAGAAAAGTCTTGGACCTTTAGATAAAAAGTGGACCAAAAAGTGGACCTTTGAGCCTTGTGGGGTTGTCGTCCGAAGGTAGAAAAGGCCGCAAACAATACAGCGTAATTTGTCAAAACGTCTCAGCTGCCGATTGCTGACGGTCCCGCGTTACCCATCACCCGCACAATGACGGGGATGACATTGCTCTTTTCGGGAGTGTCCTCCATTACCCTGGCCATTGATCAGCAATGATGTTCCCGCTAAGAAACGTCTTGAGGGTCCCTATTGGGCCTTACAAGTCATGTGGTTCTAAGGCCTTCTACCCTCTTCATCTGTGGCCATCTGTGGCGTTTGGCCAATGGTCCTCCTGTACGTCACCGATGGTAAGGTCAATCTCGTACCCAGCGCACTGTGGGATCATTCCCATGTGTTGCCTTGCTCTTGCGTATGGCTCTGGGAACAAGTCTAGTGGATTGTTCGATTGTATAGAAGGGGGTAGAGCAAGAAAAACCTCGAGCGCCGCGACAACCCGGCACTTGCGAGGCCTCGAGTTCCCGTTTGCGGCTTGGCTTACGCTCTACGCACAATTAATCGATTACGCTTTACGGTTAATTCCCGATAGCTACAACGCATTACGTAGAATTAAAACAGCGAATTACGCTCTACGCCAAATGCGCCAATTACGCTCTACGTTGAATTAGAGGGTCCGTCTACGCTCTACGTAGAATTAAAACGGCTGATTACGCTCTACGGAAAAGGGCTTGGGGGCCCCCTCACATGTGGACTTTCCTGGGTGAGCACTGATGTCCCCAGTGATGCCAAATAAATGCTTGTCAATCTGCACATACCCACACACACCTCAGGTGCCTTCTGTCACGCCTGCCAAGGACTGTTTTTAAAGGTTGAACTTTACAACCTGACCTTTAACTTTCTGTCAACTTCACAACCAGACCTTTAACCTCCTGTCTCACTAAGGCCATCATCATGCTTTCTCTGAAAACAGGGTAAGAAGATTTACAGGTAAAATATGGCATTTGGCCACTGCATGATTGTATATTTTCTATGACTAGCAGGACTAGACATATCAGCTTTGTAGGCCATACTGATTTAATTTGTAGTTTCCTGGACTGTAAAGAAAAAATATGAAGTGACGGGGAAAAAACAGGCCTAGACATCCTATGATATCTCCAAATATTACAAAGAGCCATGAAGTCAACATACAAAGCTGCTTTATGACTAAAACAATGGATTTTGAACTTTAATCAAACCACTGCATTGATAGATTGAAAAAGTATAACAACTAAGAAGACAAGGACTTTCTTCGACTGTTGTGGACAAACCTGCTTTTTTTTTCTTTCTTTTTTAGCAAAACAGAAAAAAGGAAGCCAACCTATTAAACTGGTATGGCCTTAGTTATGCAGGTTGGTGCAGTGTTTATGCAAGTATTCCTGATGTCTACCTACAGGTAACCTGCACTGGCCATGATAAAACCAGCCTGTGGCACTAGGTGACCTAGGCAACCCAAATCAGCCTTGAATTCGTCACAGAAGCACAGTTCTCCCAGTAACTTGAGTTCTTAGCCACATAAATGGCTCCTCCCCCGCCAATGCTCAGTTATTGATGTGTCCATCGCAGCCCTCAGTGGTATGTAGGATTAAGATAAGCAGTTCCAGGAAACTATACTGCGACAGGCTTTTCTTGGGTGTAAATGTAATAAAAGAATCCCCTGCAGTCCTCAGATAGGAGGATTGGTGACACAAAAACATGACAAATGAGGCAGAATTAATACTGCAAATCATCGTGAAATTGTGCGGGCGCTATTTAATCTTGCCTTTGGGTCATAACTAATAAATCTAAGAAGATGAGTGATTTTTGAAATTTTCCATGGGACCTTCCACAGCAATACATGTATCTACATGTACAAAGAATAAGATTAAGAGGGTTTTTTTCACAATGTAAAAAAAAATGTAAATGTAGATGCCAAAAATTTGACAATAAGGAATTTTGCATCATCCTTCAAAACCCAATGTGATAAACTGATGATCTTTTCAACTGTCTTCTTTTTTTCAAACATCATCGTAGAAATTATATATCTGCCATCTCCTAAAGCTTAAGACTGCACCATCTATAGTGAGCTACGACGAAACCTGCTTCAAGTTTAAATCATTACTAGAAGGATTTGGTCCAAACTTTCATTCTTACTGAATCTTAGTTGAGTAGATTTGCTACAAATTATGAGGCAAAAATATTCAAAAATTTCATCCAGTCATACTATTTTGTAGGCAACCGCAACACTTCGCCTCTGATTCTGAAAAACATCGCCTCTGATTCTGAAATGTTTACAAAACTAAAAGAGTGTCTGACACTAAAGAATGCTGGTGCTGATTGATGAAAAGTTATTTTTCCTGGTCATTTGAAGCTGTGTGCATGTGGATAAATACCTCCTATAGAGTCAAAGGTATGTGACCTCTGACCATTCCCCTACTGGGCACTGTTGGTACTACCCAGGAGTCACATACTAGTAATCAGGAACAGGGACTGGAAATAGTGCACAGATATACCCAAATTCCATATAACTTGTAGTTTGCGCTATTCCAAGCAACACCAATCCCTTAGGGCTAGCAAGACAAGCATGTAATCATTTCCCTTTTGAAGTTTTCTCATAAGGTACAAATTACTACTACAAAATATCCACAAGAATTTGTCCTTGTGTTACGTACAGTATACTACTAGTAATTAATAACAGTTGTAATAAGTCTGTTGCTATACTTCAACCAGAATTTACATTCATTACATGTGGAAGCAGCCCCATCCCGTGTCAGTGCAAACAGTTTGAAGTGGTATACTGGTAACATTGTTTGCCACACAATAAACAAAGGCATAAATAAACAATCACATTACAGATCTAGGCAACTAAAGCAACATTTTCTACTGGAGTTGATTTCTTCTATATGACAAGAGCCCAAGTAGATTTTTGTACATTTGTCTGTCTTTTAAAATGCAGTAAGTCACCAGACAATTGGCCTTGCAAACACAATAAACAAAAGAAACAACAATAAATCAAAATAAATCATGATAATGTAAATTGTTAATGTAAAAGTTTAAATATCCTGTATTGTACCATTATCAAATACTAAAAGTCTATTTTAAGTATATCTTCTGAAGCTCACATCTAAAAATATAATATCTGGGTGATAAGAATTTTTGGAAGGACTTTTGTTCATTCTACACATTTTCTAACTCTAAGTCATCAGCATCCATAAAATAAACTAATAGAACTGCACATTTCTGCATTCTGGTGAAGTTTTCCTTTGTCACCATCATCACTCTCTCAAAATCAAATGATATGTTATGCTTCTGCTTGTAATTTATGACATGGTTTTTGGCATTTATATCAGATTGTCACATTCTTTCATGTTGTCTTCAGCCACTATAAAGAGATCTGCTTGGGGATTTAAAAATATCACAGCAGAAGATAGCCTAAAACTTGCCTCCAAGCACCCATTATTAGGGTTAGGCCTTTCAAGTCGAAGAAAAGAATCGGAAGTGGGGAACCGAAACCAAACGAAATCCCCTAGCTCGTCGTAACCCCCACAAAAAATTATGACGAAATTTCTACGCTCGCAAATTTATTTTACACGCACTTCACATAAATGTAGTTATACTCCCTGACGTGGGAGGCCAGACGTCGAGAACTTGAATCCAGCGCTCTGAATATTGAACCTGGCCGAATCATGTTCCTCATTAGACATTGAAGTAACGTTACATGATCACATTCCGTCTTGGTACATCATATCATGGGCATAGAGATAGCCCGCTATGCCAGTTCGAACCAGGTCTGGAGCTTTATCAATATTGACAGATAAGTCTAGAGCGCTCTCGTGCTTAGCCTGCTCTACTGAGAAAATGGTGGGCGCTTGTGACAGGATCTTGGTCGGGATCTTTTTTTTTTTTTTTTTTTTCACAAGCACAAAGACATAGAGTCGGCATTGTAGCAGACGCCCCGGACACGCCATGCATTATGTTGTTGAAATCTACTGGGGAATGAAAGACTTTGAAAAGGAAGCGTCGAACCAGTGGACATTATGTAAGATATACGGTCTAATACAGCCCAAAATTCCATGGAAATGGTCTGAAATTAGGAACTGCTGAACTGTCTTTCTTACCGGGGTCTCTTTCTTCTCTAATAACCTGGGAGCCGCTAGCGAGGTCCAGGCCCGGCACAGCATCGCTCTTGAAGTCAGCCATCTTGAAGTCTTGTCAAGATCACAAACACTGCCAAAAATATACCTGATCATTATGAACGATGTGAAACTGTCTTATGACAGTGCTTCAAAAAGCTCATAATAGCACGAAGCTCTCACAGACAGCCGAATAATTTTATACCTGTTTTGAAGCAAGGTATAGATAAAACTTAATGTGTGGAAATGTGAGAATACACAATATAAACATTATGATACAGCACTTTATTTTGTACCCTATGGGGTCGTGAAATTGTGAAACAGTGCCAGATTCTCCCGCCATGCACTTCTCCCACTAGGTCAGAGGTGATCTTTGGAATGTGCGATATCGTTTATTAGGGGGGTGTCAGGGACTGATCGCCAAAGCGTTTTTCACAGCTAGAGATTAGCCTCTACCAGGCTTCCCTGAAGCGCCTGGAAAGAGTTACTGAGAAACTTGCCAAAAAGACAGATACTAGTAACATGCCGCTAAATAAAGGAGAACAGGTTGCCACCCGGGGTTGTCTAAAAAAAAAATACTAGGTGCTTTATATCCAGTTTTAGCAAACATACAAGTACAAAAGTCGATTTCTCAGTACCTCCTTCTAGCTGCTTCAGAGAAGCATGGCAGAGGCTGGCTAGAAACCTCAGATCAAAGCAAGGGCATGATGGCCATGTCTAGATGTCTAGAGTCTTGGCCCTTGAACTCACCCGTCAGCATTTCCAGCTATCATATGTTGGGACCGAGTTTCGTGCTTTATCATACAGTGTGGGCGAAGTTGTAAAGTTACTTTGAAAGTCGGGCATAGAGTCTTGAATATGACTGGTACTGTATATACAGGCGTTTTATGACTTACCCACCGTGACAGAAAGGGCGGTCATTGATGTAAGAATTATACAGCCTCGAGAGAGAAGGTTATAAAGTTCAAGCGATAAAAGGGGGATATTTTTAGATATGAGAAACCAATCTCCGTTCATATGGAGATCGATAAATCTCCGGCGGTCACGGTGGTGAGTTACGAAACCAATAAAACCCGGTATGACTATGGCTTTATGGGACGACGTCATTCCCGCGTCAGTGTGTCAACATGTATATGGGGCGGTCCGAAACTCCAAGCAGATGTTGGGGGATTGAAATTGTACCCGGCGGCTCGTCTGGTTGCCCTACTTCCCTGGCACGCAACCGTCATAGTCTCCACCAGACTCCTTTGCAGGCTAAAAAAATAGTAGAAATCGGCCTAAAAAGGGGATATAACGTTAATTGGCCAGAGGAGTGTGCCGGCCATAGAGGGCCCAGTTTGCCTGCACGTGCACACTGCACTCCTCTTGTGATCTATCCCCTTTTTAGCCCGATGTCTACTTTTTATTCAGCCTGCAAAGGAGTCTGGTGGAGACTACAACCATCGTGCACTCGTATGGCGATGGTGTGTTAGAGCATTGGGGCAGACAGAAAATGCACTAAATCCTAATATCTGGGGCTGCCTCACTAGTTTTCATGGTCACTTTGAAATCCAAGGTTCAAAACTAATGCGGCTACTCTATGGCTTCAAAGAAAACCAACAAGTACAGGGAGCGAGGACCTAAACGAGTGGAATAACTTGTTAAACGCTTGTATTGCATGTTTTCTATTTATATATACGCAGACAATGTATCTAGAGTTACACGTGCGTTTCCTGGAAATTGTGTTGATCATAAAAATCTGCATAAATCACAAATTATGTCCTACAACGCGGCAATACACATGGTAAATGTACATGATGGCTAAGAATCCATTATAGTTGCTACCTTGAACTTGAGACGAACACGCTATAAATATACAATGCTAGACTTGTTCCCATGCGTCTGTCTGTGACCTTTTCAATCCAAATCCTTACCTCTCAGATCCAACTGAGTTCAAACATTTGCATGGGTATGCAGATCTGGAGAGGCTCTGGATACAGAATCCCCTGCGGACCTTCGTCTGACGTTGTTGCTCTCCGTCAGTTTAAGGTTCTGTTCTCTCTCAGGATATACATGCCAGACGTAATGAATTACAAGCCACAATGTAGACAAGAACGACGTAGACGTTTTAAAAACGTGACCAACCTTGGTAACTGTACGGATCAGACTTTGCTGTCAAGATTTTTCTCGAATGAAGGCTTAAAAATAGCATCAATTACACTTCCTCTTGGATCAAGGGATAACATAGAAGAGACAGTCAACAATCCAGTGGATTAAAAGATTAGACGAGATGAACTCCGTGTTTTGATGTAGACCAGCTCGACGCCCGCTCGGGTCATGATGCAGTGTTTGGGGCTGGTAGATCGGGGCGGAGCGATATCTTCCTTATTGCGCATCAAATGACGGTTTGTTTGACTTGTATGACTGATGGATGCTCCCCGGGCAGAGAAGTCGCCACCATCACCTGTTCTCTGCACGTCCTGCCGCGACTGTCGAAGTGTCCTGCCGTTTATCATCCGTACAAGGTCACTGTCATGGCGGCTCCCACTTGTGGAGGCTCGTTACACAAACCGCATGACGTGTGGACCTGGCCGCCAGACACGACTGTCGTTTCGTTTTGTTTCCTGACTTTGACTTCTGTGCACTGACATCAAAGTACGCTCCGATTCAGCGGGGGATCAGCAACTGTGACTTTTTACGTCAATGCCAACGTCAAAGGTTTAGGTAGAGAAAGGCATATCTACTAACGTTAAATCATCCCCCAAGACATTCGCCATATGCGTCGGTAAAGGTTAGACAAGTTGACATCCGCCATATAACTAACACTATTTACATTGCATTACTTGTATGGTGTTCGTTGTTTTTATTTTCCTAAATGGTAAGAAAAAATACTTAAAATATGTATAAGAAAACAAAGATCCAAGTAAGGACAGCAAGTACATGAGGATTTACGAGTCGAAGCCCCAAATCCACCCCCAAAACGTGAGCGGTCCTTAGCGATCATAAATCTCCTTAAACCAACAATTACGCCATAAATCCTCTGTGTTGTGATAACAAATACACAAACACACAAATCGTCGATGACCAGATTTTTTAGGCGACACCAATCAGAACACAGAATTGGGGTCAGGATCATAGAGTGTAACCACATATTCGTTCTACAAATTCTTCACATTACAACGGTATACGTCCTAAGCAAAGGTCGCATGAATGTAACACACAACGTCCTTGCTGCACTGCGGGTCTATAGAGATAGAAATTATGCATTTCTTTTAAACTAAGGGCCAAGATCGTTAGTGAATGTAACGCACATTAAATTTGTGATGGTACCCTACGTGTATTAGTATAACCCATAAATCTTGATAACTGTGGCTCATTTTATTTCAGTGGCGGCGACGCCATTGTTACTGCTGACGTAAGAGATACTTTTTGCCACCTTCAACTTGTTTTCAAAATAGAACGCTTGATTTAAAAGTTATCCTTGGGTGGAACTCTTGCATACTGATGAATCGTCAAGTGACGTTAAAGCGGTCTCTACATTGTATTGTTGGAGGCCGTATTGCAATGCACTAGTGTATTTGTGTATGGGTTTTTTTTATCAACCAGAAACGCATGTTCTGACGTAAAAGCTTTTGCTTCAAACCTCAAAGACCACTTGACATGAAAAGAGAGAAGCTAGCACAGCGACATCGACCCAAGAGGCGCCGAGATACTCGGAACCTCGATTGGGCACGCGTTAGCTATCACAGTCAAGTTCAGTGTCAACAGATCTCTCAAGAGACGGTTCTGACATATTTACTGCCGAACAGATGGCAGCCCTTCTGGCGCTGGAGTGCATTTCCCATGTACAGAACCAGACATCAAAATTCCTCGTCTGTCTACTTGTCAATAATTTCTGTAGCTGCAGTCTTGAGTAGCAGAAATAAACGCCCCTATGCGAAAGTATTGACTTCATCACTGAAATCTTGATACTGCTTCTACTCTTTACATGGCAAATGAGATAGTTATAGGTAGATGCAGCAGAAAGATGAATGTACTTGACATTCACAGCCTAAGTCTGAATTAAATCTTCTGGAAGATAGATTTTATGCGCCTTTTACGATGAAACGAAATCGTTTTTAATTTCCGTTTTGTCTGTATCTTAGCGAAACACGTCAGCTATGTTGTTAAGTAGAATGCACATGTCACATAAATATAACATACACACATAACGCGTAAAAAAGGTGATTAATACAGATATGCACTCAGAGGGGTTCGTATTCCTTCTGACGTCACACTGACGTCATGTATGACGTGTGAGCCAGAGGGTCGCTATTTGAGAGATATATGTACGTCACATATACTAGCTAATGATATGATCATATCAAATGGAAGAAAAGTGTTCCACGGCATTTTTCTCGTAGCAAGTCCGTGTGTTGATCGTTGGCAATTGCAGGCAAATTTATGTGTGAACGAACTCTTACTGGTATGGGCCAGGTACCTACACTCCTACATGCACAATCTATAAACTGCGTTTTGTATTGCATACATCCATGTCCAAATAATCTTGACACATTCAGAAAGAGATACCAATGTTTCTCTATTTGTGGACGCGAATGCCCAGACAATGTTACCTGCTTCTGTGGAAATATACAACCCGATTTAGTTTAGAAAAGTGAGGCATTCACCAGTAAACGCGCAGTAAATCGTTATACCAGCCCGGCGTGCTCCACGGCCCAATGACGCTCTGGCATCAGGAACGATTTGTCATAGCTCTATCTAAAGCCACAGAACGTGCGAGAGGGAAACTTAAAGCTACTTTAGCTAAGCGCGAGCGGACAGACAGTCGATACCATACCCATGCTCGCGGCGCATCGGACACGCCACCACACCTAAACCTGACAGGAGGAATTTAGAGCTCGCCCAATTATCAGTAAATTGTACGTGGCGTATGCCACTGAGGGTGAAATTGCACGTGGGTGGATATTTAAATTTCATTAGAAATTTTTAAGCGCGCAAAACGACGGATAGAATTTTTATCGAGCCAGACTGGCTGGTACGGTATATTGGTGTAGTATCTTCTGCTGCACAGCACTTTGATTTGCTACGTTATACCGGAGGGTACATGTCGACGCGACGCCGGCCCCTTGTTGCAACTCAATATAATCTTGTTTTGACTGACATTGCTGACGACAGTGGGATTCCCAGAGTGCTGTAGGGACGTGGCAATGGCCTAGAACTTCAATTCAGTCGTCTTTGCCGCTGGACAAAAGTCTCCAATGCGCCCCTTTCTTCACACGCCTTCTTATATCTCGTACGCGTGAATATCACAGACTGCAATATATCTCCACAACACAGACTCATCTTTAACTGATAGCAACTGACTTAATATTTCAATACCGGCTGACATTTGATAGATCTATTGCTCAAGGAAGTCTTAAAGTTTTAATATTGTACGAGGCGCGAGCCAAAATGCCGATAGTTCTTTCTCATATATATATATGCTCGCGAGTCCACACCCACTTTTCCTCTATTAAAGCCATGTGGATTTGAATTACTAACACTGGACGCTTTTGAAAATGGAGTGGAAAATTTCTACCTCAGCATCTCAGCCAACTTGGTTGAGTGGCATTAGGAGATTCCCCTGGGAACCCTGACCGTGCGCCGGCACGTCTGCAGCGTGATAAACCGGCTGATTGAAGAAGGAAACGATTTATTGGCTGTATAACCTCGCTAGCCTCTACCAGGCTTCGGGAGGCGGCTGGAAAGATTAGAGAGTAGAAATTGGCCAAGTGTACTCCCTAGCGGGGAGACCAACTCCCCCGACATGTTTAATATCTCTCTCTACTTGGCCAATTTCTACTCTTTCCAGCAGCCTCCCGAAGTCTGGTAGAGGCTATGATAGCCTCCACCAGGCCCTCCTACATGGGCACGAATAGTAGAATTCCGTAAACGAGGGATGAAGGGGTCAGGAGAGTTAGTCCACGGAAATCGGAAGGTAAAGCCGTTCCCTTGGCCAGTTTTTTTCCTGCATGATTCCTATTTGGCTAAATTTTACTGTTTTTGGAACCCGCTTTATTCTGGTAGAGACTTTGTAAAACCGGTCTATATTGATCAGCATTGTGAAAAAAATCGCGAAGAGGAAGGCCACTTCAGACACTAGTACTTTTCATGGCTTTTACGACATGATTCGTCAACGGGCCATATAACGTTGCGGTAACGCACTGTGTCGTAAATACACCGCATAGTGGAGCGTATCATTCGGTTCAAGCATACATAAATCAAGACGCTTAATTCCTTCGTCTAGACGTCTGCCACCCGTGACACCTACTAACTCCTTAAATCCTGACGACTCTAACCTGGGCACGGCCTTGCGACGTTTTCCATCAGAACCTTAAGACGTTCCTCGTGATTTATATCGGTAAGACGTACCTTGAGGCACGACTGTGCCCAGACTTGTAACCCGGTCGTCCGGCTGTTAGAATCGTAAAGCGATCGGGCCACAAGCACTTTTTACCGCGAAGCTTCACATATAGCTCGTGAAAGCTACGCATATACGTCATGTTGAGTGGGCAAATGTTGAAGGGTATCATCTGGTCTCCAAGCAGATGTAAGGCGCATTTTTAGTGTTTTACGTCTGTTGTTGCAACATCTAGTACTCTTCCGAATATTGCACTTTCAGCGATTCATTAAAAAGTGCAATACGAGAAAAAGAGTACTAAAAGTTGCAACAATAGGTATAAAACACTGCGAGAAGTAGAGGTAAAAAAAACCAAAGCCATAGCATATCATATCACACCCATGTACACCGCTGCAGTACCGCACAAAGTCGCTAGATTACCCATAAATGACCTTGACCTTTGTTGTACCAACCCCAACCTACCTACCAAATATAATAAAGATACGTGCACCATACCCCTAGTTATCACCCTTTGAAAAGTCGCCAACCCCTATATTAGCCTGGGTGTCATTCGATTTGTAACGGAAACCCAGAAAAATCTTTTTACCCCATTTTCCCCAATATTTTCGGGGTTGCCGTTATAAATCGGATGGCACCCAGGCTAACTCTATATAGCTGGTGTACCTATCTCGACGAAGGTAGTGAGAGGCACCCTTACATCTGCTTGGAGATTTGGCGTTACGCTGTAAGGAGATAACTCTTTCATGGTGTCCGCCCAGCAGCTGCTCATAAACCTTTAACAACAAACAAAATTCTTCTGCTACGATATGACACTACTAAAAGGAATCATGAATAAAATCTTACCCCAAAAATACACCCTCGGTTTAAAAGGCCAACCTTTATTGGGCTTTATTTAGAATTTCTCGGATTTTAAATGCAATAGTGAGATGATGTGCGGATATTCTCTCCCTACATCTATGAAACTCAAGTTGAAAGAAACCCGCCCCAAAGTTAAAGTTGCATTGGTCTGCCTAAATACCACAGAACCCAACTTTGGGTTGGGTGAAAAAAATTCCAGTACAAAAAAAGAAACCACGATAGAAAAAGCCTGAAAACACGCTAAAATTAAAAATAATACGCCAAACCCAAACCTCTGCTTGGAGAGTAACTTATAATAGCACTTCCGGTGTACTGGTGTGACCCGGAACCATATAGCTGACCTTACTCAGACGGGCCCTATGTAGCGTGTGTGTGTGTTTTCTTTAGAAAACCTCCTTGGTCGTAGCCGTATAAGGTAGAAGAACCACGCCAAGGGTGGTTCCTTGAACTCTAAGGTGAAAACTCCAGGACCAGAAGAGGTGACGTTGGGGTTTCCTGTGTAAAACTTGTATGGTGTGCAGAAATTATACCGTCAGAAGTGGGGGAGGGGGGCGGTGATTTATCAGATCGGTTTTCAGTTTGTAAAGGTTGGCTAGCCTGGAAGCCAGTACGCTAGGCCCAGAGTTAGACGGCGTGGTTCAGGGTCTAGCAGGCTGTGATATAATTTCCTTAGGGGCATTGGCCCTGGAGCCGAGGAAGTGGCCTGTGTAGGCCCTGGAAACAGTCTGGCACCCTGGCCATCACTTAGCCGTCCCTGCCTTTTATAGCCAACCAACCTCTATCTATTACTTCAGGTGACCATGAGTGGAAAGGATCGCTCTAGAAGCTTGCACCTGCAGCAGCTGGCCTCTACCTGTATGGACACCTGCCCACAGCTGGCCAGGTTTCTACTGTAAGTGTGTTATGTGATTCCTCATGTGGTTTTATGCTTGTAACGTTACAGACATGTTTCAGTCACATCTTTACCTACTGATCAGTGTGTAACATGGAAGCAATGAAATCAAGCTGCACTAAAATATGCAGTAATATATGAAATATACAGTCATATGGGTAGTATGCTGCAGTGTGCAGGGAAATGTGCACTCTCGCCGTGCAAGTCATGGCTTCTGTATAAGACTTTTTGGAGACGACAGGTTGCCTGGTGCAACAGTTGCAGCTTCCTATCTCAGCCAGTATGTGAGCAAGGCTGGTTTGTGTTTGTGCATGTGTGTGATTTTATCATTCTACATTGACTGTCTTCTTTAACCCAAAGGACTACCAAGTCTTATCATTCTGCATTCTCTTTCCTGCAGGCACACAGCAAATTCTGACGGTGAAGGAAACCAGGCACATCAGTGTAAGATGGACTGTCTTCTTATCCTCTTTTGAGACCGTCAACTTTTCTCCTATTGGGCCATGTGCGGCTCCAAATAGTGCTGGTCAAGGTCACATCAGATAAGTGGTCGGGTTAGCTCGTGTCTAATTGGGAAAAAATTGGGCAGAGAAAAAGCAATCGTTATGGCCAGATGGCCGACTCATACAGGTGGTTGCTTCGGGAGGTTTGAATGTAGAATGCGAAAGATTCTTTTGTTGTTGTTCACTTACTTTTGTATGGAATTCTGTTTCCATGAATGTCAGATAATTTGATTTATGCAAAACAGACAATGTTATGTATATGATTACAATGTCAATGTAGTATCTCAAAAGTTCGCTATTCTTTTGTCTTTCCAGTTGCACCAGCTAACGCCAGACTTTTTGATCTGTTCACGTTTTAGACATGCCAGATCACATGACCTGTCAATCATGTGGTAACTTGCTGTTGCCTGGCAACCACACAGTGAGATTACGCCCTAAGAGGAAGATGACCTCAGCTACCCGACGTGTCATGTCAAAGGTCAGCAAGGGTCAAATGGCATCGGCATCGGAGGTCAAGCTACTAAAGAAATTTCAAGAAAGGAAAAACCACTTGGTAAGATACCTTATGAACTAAACAAATACACTCAGAAGTCAGCATCAAAAAAAGTACTACAGTAGAGTTTTAGTCCATGCTGTACTTAAAATACATGTACCACAAAAATGTCTTTCCCTTCTACTGAAAAATGAAGTCCCTGCAAAAATAACTGAATTTACAGTGCTTTTCTGGGGTTTCAGGTTGTTCAATGTTCAGTCTGTCAGGGAAAGGCGGTCATCCCTGCAGCCACCAGGAAACACGTTGTCATGGCAACATCAACGTCACATGGAAGTCCAGCAGGTGAGAACAGTGGATGTCAAGGTTGGCCCCAATTTGTAACCCTGGTTACCAAACCTATTTCAGCTGCCAAGTCTCTTTTTCTGACACTTAAGAAAGTGTTTAAGGATGAAGTGGGTTTGAGTGATGGGAAACTGTCAGTCACCATGCTTGACGGAGACATCTGGAAGGATGTCATGTATGGCACCTCTGAGGAGGATCAACTGAACTAAACTGAGTCTTTTTTTGTCCTCTCCTGCAGAGAGGACATAATAGACTCAGTTTGGTAACCAGGTTACTTTTCTTACATTACAGTTACAAGGCAGCATTGCCAGCTTTTGGTACAACGTTTATAACACTTGAATGAAAGCTCATCTGTGTTGGTAGATTCCACAGTTAGAAAACTACAACATAAATGATGTCAACAAAAATATCGCTTCCTGGTCTTTCTAATGTTACAGGAACTCCTGTGGTCTCCAGGAGAATTGCCAAGGCAACCCGAAGGCTTGTTTCAACTCCTCACACCAGCAGGTGAGGCAGACACCAGGCTTTCTTACTTTCTATCCTCACAAGCCATATTTGGTGTGACCTGCCTTTCTTTGTGCTATATTTGGTGTTACCCACTTTCCTGTCTTCCATATTTGGTGTGACCTGCCTGTCTTTGTGCCATATTTGGTGTTACCTACCTATCTGTCTTCCATATTTGGTACGACCTGCCTGTCTTTGTTAGCCTGGGTACCATCCTACTTGTATGCCGGGGCTCCCACACTCGCTTCCCTTACCATCCTACTTGTATGCCGGGGCTCCCACACTTGCTTCCCTTAGGGACTTCCCTCAGGCTAGTCTTTGTACCATATTTGGAATTACCTACCTGCCTGTCTTCCATATTTGGTGTGACCTACCTGCCTGTCTTCCATATTTGGTATTACCCACCTACCTTTGTGCCATATTTGGTGTAACCTGGCTGTTTGTCTTATTTAGTCATAGGGAGTAGAAGTAGAGAGTAGAGTAGAGGTATGAGAAACCTCTATTCAAGGCACCAAAGGTTTCTTCAGCTTAAACTAAGATTCCCTTCTTTTTTTCCTATAGTTCTGCATTTCTGAGCACCCCAGACTCGAGTACAAAGGTTGTGGGTTCGAGTCCTGGCACTCCTGGATCAGGTCTGAGGGTCCCGGGTTCTAGTCCCGGCTCTTCAGGCAGGAAAGGCAAGCAGCAGAAACAGAGACACGCCCAGCTGAGACACATGCTATCCCAGCAGTCCTTGGGGGACACCAGTACTTCCCTCTCCGACTTTCTCCAGTCTTTATGACATTTTGTTTGTTTTGCATAACTGATAAACAAGCTTTAGGTGTAACACAACAGTTTTGTACTGTAAGTACAAGCTGTGTTAAACTGGGCTGTAAGTTTGAACCACTCACACAGAGAAGGACTCTTTTCAATAACATGGTCGAGGTGTGACTCTCCTCAAACATGGGGCCTCTGGCATTATGTCCCTTCTGATCCAGAAGGACATCCCTAACCAAAGCTAGGGACCATGTATGTGTAAGAAATATGTGTATAGAAGATTTATTAGGACTTTAAATGATGTAAATTTTTATCTTTTTGATATACACGTACTTGTATGTTGTCTGACCCTCACCGACCAAATGAATGAATGAGTGAATGAATGAATGAATGGATTAATGAATGAATGGATGAATCTCAGACCTCCATTAAATATTTAGACCTTGTGTGATGGTGACTGTGTCCTCTTCCCATTCACCATGGAGTCTACAAGTCTTTCTCTATTTTGCAAGGAAAATAACACCAGCTGTCAGCTGCCTAGTAGGTCAGGTCACGAAAAACAACAAAAACAGCAAGCACTACCAGTTCTCCCTCAGGGACAGATATCCATTACAGCCTCAAAAATTTATGTTTTTTCGGTAGTTATAAGAAGAATAGTTTTTTCTTTGTCTGTAAGTTTAGAGAAATCGGGATGAAGTTTGAATACATATACCACGGAGTGACAGATACATTACCCTCACTTTGTGGCCCATAAATCCTTGATAGTATTCTGGGTATGTTGTATGTTCTTTCAAAGACGTAAGAAATGCTATGTTCGTGTTACATCTCGCAATAAACCAAATAGAACAGTCATAAAATTGTGCCCAAGTTGATAAAGACAGTAAATGAATGGAGAACACAATGTCGTGATGGTAGATAAAGCAATAAAGTAAACCGTTTCAAGATTCCCAGACCACTTTGTAATGGAGCAATCCAATATAACTGCAAAATAGCCTGAGTTCCGTTAACGATGCTTCGGTCGTAATCGCTAACCGGAACACGCTGTTTGGAGAGCCTTATGTTCCCCACACTGAGTGTAAAAGACGCTGGGACTAGATAAAAGAAGATTACATCCGTGCTTCTTTGGTCACTCGTCATATTAAAACGGATGTTAAGCGTCTAAAATAAAAGTTACAAACTTTGCACCATTGTAAACTTTCCACATGATTTGCGCGCGAAGGTTAGTTATGTATAGCTTCGCAGAAGGAAAAGATTGTTCTTTCTCTGTTTCTTCTTCTCCGAACACATAAGGTCGATGACCTGGGCCAGACGTCTGTCACCATGGTAACTGGTGCTGCAGCAGATACCCTTTGGTGTTGGATTACATTATACCATGTGAGTAAGAATAAACAGTGTAGTAGTTTGTTATAAGCTAGACTCCGTGTGAATTTTTTTTTTTGCGCAAATGTTACTTTTGTAGTTACTTTTCCTAGCCTATGTTGTACTTCTTAAGTCTTGCAATCACAATTGAAAACAGCGGCCACAATGGAACATACGTAACGTCATTTGACGGACTTATTTTCTTAGACTACATGTAGCCAAAAAAGGAATAATCACAACAAGAAGATGATACGCATAGCGTACTTGATAAACGCTATTGCTATAGTTATTTCCGGAGCCGTAAAAACTTCAGAGACAAGCTTACAGAGTCCGACCCCGCCGTTCCTCTAGAGCTTTGGACCTGTAGTGTGTGATCATCCTCGAAGCTTCGCTATCAATCTCTACCCATCTTTAGGCCCGATGGGCATGGAGACAACCTTCACCTTGCCTATAGAAATCACCGCGCTACATTCATCACATCAAAAAGTACCCTGTTATTAACGCTACCAACGTCGGAAAACAACCTTTATTGAAGCGGCGGCCAGGAACATGACGTTTGAAGAATACGAAGCTGACACGATGACAAAAGACTGGGTTATTTTGCACCGTGCCGGTAATCCAAAAATATCCCTAGAAATGGGTTTCCCAGCCGGGACGACATCCAAATGTCAAGCTTCTCCAGCAAGTCCAAAAATCCGGAGCCGCATTCTGTCAACTTTTCTTCATTTATTGGCCACAGGGGATCAAAATTGACTGCTTTATAAAACGATTGGGCATTGGAAACGACGCTTGTGTCGGCAAATTTCAAGTCGTGTTAAGACCAAGATCAGTCTTTCTTCAAAGGAGGTGGGAATAAGAAGAAGGTGTCATCAGTTTTGTCTTGGTTAGAGTCCCACCGGGGAGAAGAGGGACGAAGTGAGGTATGCACGTGGGAGAAGTTTTTCAGGTCAATTATTACCGTTTTTTTATTGCTTACGCTTGTGCATTTTTCTTGTGCGGGAACGTAATTCTACATTGTTTTCCTCTCCGAAGAAACGGACAATCGCACCCCAAAAAACAACAACACAATTCATATATATCGTGTCAATAGTCCTGTGACATGAACTGAAAGACATTCTGCAAAAGAACACCAACCAAGAAGAAAAGCCACACAATGATATGATGATAGTGCTTAGTACAAACATAGTGGTACAAATAAACAAAACATGCCCAAAGATGACAATAAGGGTATGGTAGGCTTATAGTGCCAGAAAATGTGTAAAGCAACGGTGTTCAAAATAGCGAAAATCTTACATAAATATCGCTTTAACAATCAATATATAAACTTCTAATATACTTAGTAGTACTTTTGACTACCTCTCGCTCCATGGTAATTGTATAAATGTAGGAGGCTGTATAATTTGTTAGAGATGGTTTTTCGAATGATGTAAGGACTATAAATTTCTCTTTCCTATTCAAGTATCTAAAGCAGGGGAATTTACTATTAGGGGATTCACATTTAGTAAGAGTGCAAGATGTATACGACGCCTCCTTTCATATCCGTCAGCACTATGTTGCCGTTCGGTAGGACCGCTACATCGGCGGGCTTCACCAATCCGTGCTCTCGGGTCATGATCGTCTTCACGAAGTTTCCCGAAGAGTCGAACACCAGCACTCGGCTGTTTCCGTGATCGACGACGATGAAGTTGCCTCTGTGGTCGACGGCGACGCCGCACGGGTACTGGAGCTGTCCGGCACGGCTTCCCTGGGTCCCGAGCTTCAGCTGCAGCTTGCAATCTGGTGGGGAATAAGGCACGAAGTTTCCCTTAAAGCTGCAATATGTAACATTAGGACGATAAAAAAATGAAATTTTCTGGTAATTTCTTTACAAAGTATTATAAAGTAGAATCAGCCCTACTGCTTTGCATTCATTCGGGATGTGGCTGTGTCGAAATATGACGCATTATGCGTATGTTTAAAAGTTGAAAACACAGCTGTCAGTCATATTTGTTTACATTTTCGTAGTTTGCGGTGGTACCACAAAACTGAGTAGTTTGTCTTAGCCAAATCTCTATCAATGTGAACACCACGGTAGTCAGAGGTAGACTTGAGGTCTGTTAGTTTACGTTAGCTGAATTTATTGGGTGATTTCACATAGTACAAGCGTCCTCTTCAAAGACACGCTGATTATGCAAATTGGGACGAGCGACCGACCTGAATCCATGACCTTGACGCAGTGGTTGCTGAGATCGGACACGAGAATCCTCCCGGAGGCGTCCGAAGACACGAAGTAGGGCGATCGGAAGCGTTCGTCGAGCCGACTGTGCGGCGAGCCGACTTTCCGAAGCAGCGCCATGTCGGGTCCGTAGACGCAGATCCTGTCCCCCGGCGGGTCCGTGACGTAGGTGGTACCGTCTGTCGGAGACACCGCAATGCCCATCGGGAAGGTGAACGTGCCGAAGCTCTGGAGTAGCGTCCCTTTGGTGTCGAACACGTCAACTTGGCGCCGCACCGAGTTGGTCAGGAGAAGTCGTCCTTCCAGGTCTACATCCACCTGAAGAGGAGGAAAGGAGAAACAGTCATCAGATCGTCCTGTGAAGGCATCCAATGCAATTTCGGGCGCAAATCTGGATTTTCAAACTGGATATTTAAAAAGAATTTGTATTAAATCCACGCTGATAACGCTTCGTCGGTATAGACCGCCGTCCACATATCAATTCCTAGTGCATCGTCGCAGGCGACGTCTAGCGACTCAATAAAATAGTACAACAGGAAATCTTCACCAGTGCAATAACATCGCAAATATCACCTAAGTACATACCTGGTGACAGCCCGGAGCATCAAAGCTCCTGATGAAGGCTCCTGATTGGTCAAACAGATGAACCACCGTGGATTCAAACTTTGACTGTTCTCCTCTCTGGTCCACCACAGCTATGAGTCCGTCACGTGACACTGTCACGCCATACGGCTGGTTGAGTTTTACCCTATCGTCTGAAAAATCACAAAAGTTGCTAATCAATAATCATATTTTAAACAAAGGTGTGATATTTTCACGTATTTCTCGTAATATGACTGCCAGTTGTAAGTATTATCGAAACCCGCGTAATTTGTAACCATGAACTTAGATCGATGTACTTTCTAAACCGTACTTCTCTACCTTGGGGACGAAGTATAAATGATATATGACGATATACCTGATATATTGGTCATTGTGTTCGGCATTTTGAGAGGCGTAGGAGGACCGCTAGATGTCGCCCTTGATAGAGTGGGGCCCGTCGCTGTGTCCGTTCCCTGGGTAGGCCTGGCAGGTTCACTCAGTTGCCGTCTCATACTTGGCACAGACTTGAGTCGCTCGCTCTGCGTTTCATCAACTCTGTGGTCGGGAACCGATCCTCTCGTGCGTTTGTCACCGCTGTAGCCAACTGAGGCTGGGCGGGCTCTCGTGTCCTCAATCCCCGAAGAATTACCTGTGCTGGACGCCGAAGATTGTCTTGAATCGTTGGATCGCCCTGATCCCTTCCTTTGGACTCCTGTGTCTGATAACCCAAACTTTGCGCCGCTATCCACGGCTGCTGCGCCCGTGTCACTCGTGCTTCTCCTCGCCGCATTTTGACTGGTTAACCCGTCCCGGTTAGACCCATTGCGAAGTTCGACCTTTTCCCAGTCGTCCTTCAGCGAAGACGCAGTTTCGTGGCCGTTCCGAATATCTTTGTCATCTTGGCCGTCGGGAGAAACGGACTCAAACTTAAAGGTATGTTCTTCTACATGGGAGACATCTTCGGACGACTGCGTTGTGATCTCAGGGCTGTCTATTCCGTCACTTAGTCCATCGCCTTTTTCATCAAAGAATCCTACAAGAGGGTCTGAGCCAATGTCCACTGGTACGAACGTTGCCTCAAATCCCGGTGGATTTTTTAGAGGTCTGTTCATGGTCTCGTACATTATTTTCAGCTTCTCTAATATCTCTCCGTGCCGGTTGACGTCCACCAGCCCGCCTCGAGCCAGCTCTCTCTCCGCTTCAACGTCAAACGTCAGCAGAGTTTCCACCGTGCTTTCCAAGTCCTTCTTCCTCTCAGTCAGCTCAGAAAGATGCCCATCGTACAGCGAGTCTAGCTCTTCCTGAAGTGTCTCTCCTTCTAGTTGGATAGCTTGTATTCGTTCGTGCACCAGCGCTTCGATGTGACGTTCCATGGCTTGTTTCTGCGGCAGGATCTCGGTGATGGAGTCTCTGACCACCTGTAGACTGGTGACGGCTGTAGCAGACCTCTGCCGCTGGTCGGACAGGGCGGTGCCGACTCGTTCCTTCATCCTCTCTATCTGCTCCTCTATGTGACACACCTTGTGGGAGTTGTGGTTCCCCCTGGGACACTCCCGGCACAGCGGCTTCTCACACGTCTGGCAGTAAAACCTGTGGAGACACCTTCAAATGTTGTACTCTGTTGCCCTAAGAAATACTTCTGCCTTCTTCTTTTGATATACTCTTAAAAGCTTCAGAACAAAACATAGCACAAGACAATGCATACGGGCACACCTTCCATATTTATGTTAAGGTAATTACGTATAGAAATTAAAATTTACCTTGCAGCATTCAGGTTTAGCCATTCAACATGGCGGGCAGTACTTACGTCATCGTCACGTGAGTGCATAAACACCTACAGTTTTGTTTATACTATAAGAAGGTGTAAAATATCACACGTCTAGCAACAGAACCTATGTGGAGGCAAAGATCTATCGTAGCTCCTGTCAGTCTGCGGTTACAGAATTTCCCCCTCACTTCCTTGGTGGTTCTACTTTATTCAAAGAACTACAGACTGATATACACAAGTATTGACCCGAACCTTATGGCTTGTCTCTGGTGAGTCAGACATTCGTTGATGACGAAGGGCGTGACGTAAGGCTCCTCTATGGTCCTGATCTTGAAGGACAGTCTGCTGAGGAACACGTCCTCGGGAAAGCCGGGCACCCCGCTGACGGGGACGGCGGCGTCACGACGGCAGGACGGGCAGGGGAACGTCAGGTAGTTCCCGGCACACCTGGCGACGCACGTCTCGCAGAAGGTGTGGTGGCACGGCAAGGTGCGCGGCTTGACGTAAGGACGTCTGCACAGAGGACAGGTGAGCAGGTCGGTCTGGATCTGAAGTCGTATGTCCTGGCAGGGGTCCATTGTTCCTCACCTATTTACAAACAGGGCACAATGATGGTTCGCGATAGTGCAGTGTCTACAATAGCCGCATTGAGTCGCTTTTTGCCTATAACACAGTCATTCCCCTTTGTGATGTGCATTATGAAATACCAAGGACATTACAGTGTAATGTCCTTGGTAAAACCAAGGGAAATTTATATCCACGTTGACAGGTTATCCATATAAGAGTGACACTTTGAATACCTTTACCTTCGCAACCACACATACTCTCAACCCTTAAAACCATACCCCGCTAAATGCCCTGGGACAAAAAACTACAGCCTATGTAAAATAGTCTATAGAAACATACGAACACTGTAAGCAAAACCAAACAAATAGAGGGATTTCTTTACATTCAACTGGTACATACCGTGACGTTCTTTAGATAGTTGTGATATAACGTAATGGATTGAGTCAACGCCCGTATACAAGTATCTATAAAACACACGAATAGCGCCTTATGACTAGAAAATACTAGCCTCCACCAGGCCTTTCTACTGGAATACGAATCGTAGAATTCAGCAAAAAGGAGAGTGAAATTGGTCAGGGGAGTCCGGCCGCGGAAGGTTGTTTCTTTCCCAGTCAAACCACAAGGCGGCCAAACTCCCCTGGCAAATATTCTCTATATAGCCAGCGTAGTTAGTCTGGTAGAGACTAAGAATATACACATTCACAAGGTACCAACAACTCAGATACATACACACTTTTGATCGTAAGAATATCGTTATAAGGTAAAGAGTAAGTAGAAAGTGAGTTGTGTGTACCTGATGATATATGCAGGTGGGGAGGGTAAGGGTTGAAGGGTGGGACCGGAAGCTGACACAACCTGGGTGTGGGACCAACTGAGCTGGAAAACTTGCCCCACTGGTTCTATCCTTGACGCCAGGGCACACTTCTGACCCCTGACCTTAAAAACAGGGTGTCACCCTAGCTTTCAGCAATTATGACGGGCGTGTCCTTGTTATAGTAAATACTAGCTGACGTGTTGTCAGTGCGAGCGTTCACCCAGGGAATTACAGGTACGACTCACGAGTATCTATCTATAAACAGTTTATATTAAAGAAATCATGTATCAAAATATAAAATAATTTAAAAAAAAACGTAATTTAGACTGGTGTCCTTGGCTTCTCTTTTATTAACATGTACAATTCAAGTTATATATAATCCAAAATAGATTTGCTCGTAAACATGTTTTATCTTTCCAGCGCCATTTTTATGAAGTCATATTTATTTGGATTCTATGTGTACGATTGCGTAGCTCGTAGCATATATATACGCTATCAGTGGAAGTAAAGCCGATAGGTATTGCCCCGAGTAAGGTGGTATACGTAGAAGGACTATCAAAACGTTGGCAGAAAATTAGAAGTTACAGAAAAATCTCCTCAGATGAATCTTCGTCAGATGGGAACTCCAGAACTTTGGACACTTTTTCCTTAGAGGTGATGCGAATTGTTTTCCACCGAACAAAGTTCTGATCGGAGCCATCGTCGGATTGCTGTGCAGGCCTTCCGTGAGCTATGTCAGCTGATTTATGTGTGTGTACCCTTGCGGTCTCTAACGGTTCTGTAGATCTGAAAGCTATGTCTGATTGCTGTGTGGGCCTGTGGGCTGTCCCTGATTGCTGTGTGGGCCTGTGGGCTATCTCTGATTGCTGTGTGAGCCTGTGAGCTATCTCCGACTGTTGTGAGGGCCTGTGGGCTGTTCCCGATTGTTGTGTGTGCCTGTGAGCTGTCTCCGATTGTTCTGTGGGCCTGTGAGCTGTTCCCGATTGTTGTGTGTGCCTGTGAGCTGTCTCTGATGGCTGTGTGGGCCTATGAGCTGTCTCCGATTGTTCAGTGGGACCGTGAACTGTCTCCGATTGTTGTGTGGGCCTGTGAGCTGTCTCCGATTGTTGTGTGGGCCCGTGAACTGTTTCTGATTGTTGTGAGGGCCTGTGAGCTGTTTCCGATTGTTCTGTGAGTCTGTGAGCTGTCTCTGATTGTTGTGTGGGCCCGTGAGCTGTCCCCGATACTTGTGTGGGCCAATCAGCTCTCTCTGATTGCTGTAAGGGAGCTATGTTTGATTCCTGTGTAGCTCCATTTGTTATGTATGGTTGCACTGTAGACCTGGCAGGTTCACTCATCTGCCTTCTCATACTTGTCTGGTTGCTGGCAGATGCCCCTGTCAGCGATGTAAGGTTGGTGGCTGTTTCTGGTTGCTGTGTAGATCCGTGAGCTGTCGTTGATTGCTGGGTAGGCCTGGTAGCTGCCCTGGATTGCTGTGTAGGCATTGTAACTGTATCTGACTGCTGTGCAGTCCTGGTATCTACGTATGGTTGTGTAGACCTTATAGCTGGTCCAGATTGCTGTGTAGACCTTTGAGCTGGCTCTGATTGCTGTGTATGTCCTCTCGTTGTGTACGATTGGTGTGCAGGGCTGACAGGCTCACTCACTTGCCTTCTCATGTAGGGCACAGACTTTGCATTCTCACTTTGTGTTTCACGAAGGGAGAACCTATTAAATCTGTGGTCGGGAGCCCAGGAGCCTTCCGCTGCCTTCTCGTCACTGTACCTCGCCGAGGCTGGGCGGTTTGTGACACCTCCGAAAGTCCCCGCCCTTATTCCACCCGCGTGTTGACTACCAGCTTTGGTGCGAAGTTCTACCTTTTCCCAGTCATCCTTCACTGAAGACCCTGTATCGTGGCCGTTCTGAGAAAAGGACCCAAACTGAAACGTTTGTTCTTTCATATGTGAAACAACTCTTGCAGACTGCGTTGTGATTTTAGGGCGGTTTATTCCGTGAACTGGTCGCCCTCCTCCTTCAAAGTATCCCACCAACCGATCCGAAGCGATAGTTATGGGTACGAAAGTCGCCTGAAGCCCCTGAGTTTTCTTGAGAGGCCTGTTCATGGTCTCGTACATTATTTTAAGCTTCTCTGATATTTCTCCGTGCCGGTTGACGTCCACCAACCCGCCTCGAGCCAGCTCTCTCTCCGCTTCAACGTCAAACGTCAGCAGAGTTTCCACCGTGCTTTCCAAGTCCTTCTTTTTCTCGGTCATGTCAGATAGGTGACTATCGCAGAGTGAGTCCAGTTCTTTTTGCAGCGCCTCTCCCTCCAAAAAGACGGCCTGTACCCGTTCGTGCACCAGCGCTTCGATGTGACGTTCCATGGCTTGTTTCTGCGGCAGGATCTCGGTGATGGAGTCTCTGACCGCCTGTAGACTGGTGACGGCTGTAGCAGACCTCTGCCGCTGGTCGGACAGGGCGGTGCCGACTCGTTCCTTCATCCTCTCTATCTGCTCTTCTATGTGACACACCTTGTGGGAGTTGTGGTTCCCCCTGGGACACTCCCGGCACAGCGGCTTCTCACACGTCTGGCAGTAAAACCTGTGGAGACAGAAGTTGGGCACATTTGTATCCAACCTATCCTTGCTCCTGTCAGTCTGCGAGTACAGCACCCCCCCTTAATTACTGTATTTAAATAACAACACAGCAAAGAAAGAAAGAAAGAAAGAGACAAACATATATGCACATCGAAAACAAAACCTTCACGGAGGTATTGTAATCGTAATATAATGTAATAACTTCAGGAAATTCAAACTTACCATGCAGCATTCAGGTTTAACCATCAAACATGGCGGACAGTACTTACGTCATAGTCACTTGAGTGCAAAAAGTAATGAAAATATATGAAAAAGGTCCATATCGACCCGAACCTTATGGCTTGCCTCTGGTGAGTCAGACATTCGTTGATGACGAACGGCGTGACGTAAGGCTCCTCTATGGTCCTGATCTTGAAGGACAGTCTGCTGAGGAACACGTCCTCGGGAAAGCCGGGCACCCCGCTGACGGGGACGGCGGCGTCACGGCGGCAGGACGGGCAGGGGAACGTCAGGTAGTTCCCGGCACACCTGGCGACGCACGTCTCGCAGAAGGTGTGGTGGCACGGCAAGGTGCGCGGCTTGACGTAAGGACGTCTGCACAGAGGACAGGTGAGCAGGTCGGTCTTGATCTGAAGTCGTATGTCCTGCTCCATAGCTCAGAATCTAACAAGGCACAAGCACAGTTTGTAGAAGTGCAGTGTCAGCTATAGCCGCATCATGGCGCTTCTACTCTATGATAAGAATCACCAAGTGCCTTTCACCTGGAAATCACGGCCCGTTGTGTTCCCCAATTCAACAAAGTCTACTGTGTGGGATTGGACAACACCCAAGAAAGAAATTTCCAATCCACCTCCCGACTAAAATCTTCGGCGGGTGGTACATGTATTTCCAAAGACCCGTGCGACGTTAACTACAAAGCATACATAACGAGACTTAATAAATGTAAATACTTAAAGAACAGCCAACGAACGGAACGATTGTTTCACATTCAATGCATTATATATATACATATCTGGCATTCCTTCACGTTCGTCAGGTATCATATCTACGATGCAACCCAACGTCCGCACGTGTCTAAAAAAACTCAAGAACAGCCCTTTACGACTTCAAAACACATAACCCTGTAGTAGCAATAAGTTACGAATGTACGGAAAGTTGAAAGAAGGATTAACGCTGAGGTAAAAACTAAGTAAAGGTATTATAAAGTTCTTTACCTGTTGTCGGTATGGCGGCAGGGATCGGCTTGATTTTGGGTGCGATCAGAGGATGACTCAGTCTGGGTGTGAGCAGGGGAGAGTCGTCTCACTGGTTGTGTCCCGCAAGTTCACAACTCTAACCTCTGAACTTACAACAGTGTGAAATTGATCGTTATTGATGTGTATGGGCGCGAATCCGCCAACGAAAATCATGCCTGGGCCCACTCTGATACACCCCGTCCCCTCCCGTTTTCAAAAAGACAAATGCATAGATGGACACACTGTCTCATCCATGAACGTTAGCCAAACCAAGCGGCAACAGTTTATGTCATATATTCTTAGTTATTACTCCTTGAAAGAGCTTAGTGACGGAGTATTGTAGTCAGTTTGTCCTGTACACTGTTCTCAGTTTTAACTCACGATCCCTTGGCTGTATTGATTACTCTCCAAGCAGAGGTTGTGGGGGAATGATCGTTACCTTTTATATATGGCCGTTTTTATGTCGCTACCCCCACCAACCCGTCGGTGGCTGCAGACCTTCTCTGGCTAATGGATACTACCTGGCCAATTTGGTACTGTCTTTTTGCCACCGAGAGGGAGCTGCTTGGAGATTTGTATTGATACGGTGTAGTTTGGCATGTCGTGTGCTAGTATGCGCGAGATTATGCACGTTGTTTTTTTTTACACCGGAGCATGGCAGTTTTTATAGGTAATGCCTTATCTTATCAGAAAGCACCCCTATCTTGAGGGAGTTGTGGAACAGGTCATTAATTTCGTTGACTTTTGTACGTGGGTGAACACTGATAGGGTTTTCGTGGGTGCACACTGATGGGGAAATGTCCCTAGCGGCTTTGTTTATGTTTATTAGGAATCTCCATTAGTAATGCAATGTTTGTTTACTAATCTTCCTGGAGTCCTTTAATATTACATTTAAAACATGAAATATAATCGATTACAAGTTAACTTAATAGCGACAATTACAACATGTATTTACAACAACATCCGCTTAAATAACAGCATAACAATAACAATCTTAACATAATCTGCCCGTAGGCCTACTTGCTTATATGTACAACAATTAAGGCTAGCTTGAATCACATACTTAAAATACAGTGGAGAGGTCAGAGGTCCCTATTTACACCATGTACTTGTTACTCTATGCTTCTACTCAAACTATCATTTGCGTATGAAACAGGATCCCTAAGATTTCAACACCAGTTAAGCGAACAGTTAATATTTAATGAGGAAAGTCTTCATCAGTTGTTATCTTAATATTAAAGAAAAGCATGTTTGAAAGCAAATCGTATCTCATTACGAAGAGCGAGATCGCCATTGTCATTGAATAGTAAAGTTCTTTATTCACAACGGTTACCGCTTGTTTACAAGAGCCGGAAGACCGTCTGTCATCTTCATCAGGGCAATTATGACTGGTTCAATGCGCACTGACGCTAGGTGTTACTGCTAACAATGCGGTCCCAAACGTAAGGTAGTTGTGACATACATATTAGATATTGTTACAAGTTACAACAATAGTGAGATCGTATTATAAAGCTTTGTACCAGGATCCTTGTAAACCAAAGTCCTCCACCGGTACATACAGTAATGTTGATGAGTTCCATGAAATGTACTATAAATATATTGATGCTATATATGCTCTATATACTCCAGCGTAATGTGGCTGAATGAAATTCATTTTCCACCACTGACACACCAATCTAACGTGTCATACAGCTATGATAGCTATTCGTGTTAGTAAATAAAGAATTAAATCGGTCCTTCAAATGGTTTATATACGAGTGCCATGGCCCTATTATCCAAACGAGAGAAGCGTAAAAAAGAAATTTCATTGCCTTTTATGGCACTCAGGGGAGTCTCCAAGAAGTGAATGTGTTGCTTCACTTTCTAAACGTGATTACAAGTGATGACATAGTCGCCATACTGGTTGGTTAATACCTCGACATAGCAAATGATACCTACGTCACGTGAGTGCAAACACAAGAAACAAGCGCTTTCATTGGTCACACTTGTACTTAAATATGAGCCCCCGGCAGGTCTCCATGTCCATGACCGCCAACCTGCCCTCGGGCATCAAGGTCACTTGACTGGGGTGTCCGAGGCCCTGGTCAGAGGTCAGCAGGTGGCGGGAAAACTTGCCGTGTGAGTCAAACATGGAAACCCGTCCATTCCCGCTGTCTGCCACGATGATGTTCCCCTCAGCGTCCACGCATATCCCTGGATGAGTAACATTGTCATGCTAACGTCAAACGTAAGGAACTTTCGGAAACAAGACGAGTCACTATATGTAAATTATCATCAGCGCATCCAGGAGAACATGTTATAGATACTATGCGATCTTTTTAGACACCACATTGTACACACTCATGATGTTGTAATAAATGTATAAGATTCTAGCATCAGTTTTGCAGTTCCTAAAATACATTCAAACGGATCCACGTCCTATTCAAAGCTACAAAAACGTTAGCAACTTCCTCTTGCAAGCTTTTCAACTGTAAAACACGCGTATTTGTCCTACACATTACTAGTATTTAGTGCTATCACCTCACCTTTAGGATTCTTCAGCTGCCCATCCTTGCTGCCCTTCTTGGCAATCTTCAGTCGAAACGTTCCCATCATTGCGAAAACCTGGATTTCCGACAAGGAAAATTGCCATTGCTTAAACAATAGCTTAAACCCGATTTACACGTGGGCAAAAACCTTTACTCAGAATTTAATGAATAGTCGACATCGGTCTAAAAGGTTTATTCGACCATATTAAGATAAAAGTATTGGCCGTCGAATTCCTCTGGCCAATTAATAGTAACGTTACCCCTTTTTAGGCCAATTTCGACTATAATTCATTATTTCAGGCCGCCTGTCTGGTGAAGACTGGTAAATAAAGTAGTATAACGAAACCCTCCGTCTTGTTGTGCGTCGCCTGGGTAGCGGACTTTATTTTTTATTTCAATTTTCATTGAATTTTCAAGTAAATAATACAGCAAGAGAAGTAAAAAGGAAAATGGACTTTTGGAAGCGGACCAGAGCACAAGTCAGGATTCCAGGCTACCGTATACTGTACGTACCTTGATACAGTGACAGTCGTGGTCAGACACGTAGATGTTCCATGCGGAGTCCACGGCTACTCCCATGGGGTAGGTCAGCTCATGGTCTCCGCGCCCGCTGCTGCCGAAATGCCGTATCAGCATCCCGTCAGGCTGGTAGATAAACACCTACACATACAGATACAGAGAGTAAAGAGACTCTTTTTACACAACCAAGTCTTTTATTCAGCCGACGTTTCGGTGACCGTCTGTCACCTTCCTCAGGGCAATTCTGACTGGTTCACATTGCACAGCAGCACAGGTGTCGCTGCTATAGATGCAGAATTGCCCCGAGGAAGATGACAGACGGTCACCGAAACGTCGGCTGAATAAAAGACTAGGTTGTGTAAAAAGAGTCTATTACCAACCTGATGAAACTATTCACGGACCTACAGATACAGGCAAGACAACATTTCCTGTACCTCCATTTTTAGGCTAAGATTAAAGCATTCAATGCAATTTCAGGGCGGCAATAAAAAAATATTCTGGATGAGGAAATCTCTCTGATATTGACATTTATTGCTATTTCTTAGTACATATAGAATCGGCTTGGTTTGGTGTTTTGGGGAAGTAACTACTAGTATATAGTAGCAGTCAGACCTCATGTAACTATATCAAACAAAGGTGGCTTCCACCTGCCCCCCCCCCCCTGTTTCTACTGTGCATGTATAAACAAATAAAGGAACCCACCTTACACCTCTGCGTGTCCGTGACCAGAATCTGCCCTCCCACCGGATGGATGGCGATGCCCAGCGGGTAGGACAGCTGCCCCTTCCCGAAGGTCTGCACGCAGGTGCCGAGCTTGTCCAGCACGTCCACGGTCTCCTGCTGCGGCCTGGTGCAGAACAGGCGCCCGCCGCCGTCCGCCGCCAGTTGGAAGTAGTGCGGCTGGAACGACTTCCCCACGAACTGGCCCGCGCTGTCGTACTCTTTAATCTCTCCCTCCTCGATGTCACTACAGCCGTCCATGACGAAGATACGGCCCTCGGGCGTGACTGTCATTCCTCTGGGTTCCGTTAGTTGGCCCTCTCCCGAACCCTCGTGTCCGAAGAAGACCAGGCCTGGCACCGGTTGGTTGGGGTTGATACCTCTCATGACCGGGGTTGGTGTTGGAGTCGCGCGCTTTAGGCTATCCTTTCGACCGTTTTCGGAGCCCTTTTCCTTCAGATGACCTAGAAGGGTCTTTCCAGTGGGACTGATGGCTGGTTGGAAGTCCATTTCCAGCGAAATGTAGTCGGCACTCAACTCCTGCATTGCTATGGCAACCTCTAACTTCTTGCAAATGGCGTCCTCCATGCCGATGACCTCCGGTTCGGTGAAGCTCAGCCTCTTCTCGGCCCAGTCGCGGGTGCTCGACACCTCATCAAGCGTGCTCTGTGCCGAGTCTTTCTGCTCGATCAAACGCATTTGTTTCGTCATGAAGTGACTCTCGAGTTCTTGAAGTAAAACCGCCGCCGTCTTGTTGATATCGTCGATCAATTGTTGTTGGTAGGACCGAATGGTGCTCTCTACCGCTTTCTTCTCGGCTTCCAGCTTCTTCTCGTTGTCAGTGATGCCACTAGCGACGTCCTCGTGGATTTTGATCCTCTCTTTGCACGTCTTCAAACTTCCGCCGATGCGGTCTCGACTGCCACCTGCCGCTTGAGCTGCGCTGCATATAGAGTGCCCCTGATGAATGTCGAGAATGCACTCGCTACAAATGGCCACCTTACACTGCTGGCAGTAGAAGCGGCGGACTTCTTTCTTGTGTGTCCCGCACTTGTCACCCGCACGAGGCTTTTCAGCCACCGGCGGACGCTTCTTGACAGCCACTAGCTTCTCGCAGAAACTGGCGAGCTCAAAATTCTTCTTGAATCCCTCGACGCCATTTTTAGGAAGTATGACCTGTTCCCGACATGTAGGGCAGCGAAAGATTCGCTTGTCGGCGCTGATCTGACTGATACACTTCTGACAGAAGGTGTGCTGGCAGGGTAAGACTCTTGGATCCGTGAACGTCTCAAGGCAGATTCCGCAGGACAAGAGTTCCTCGCGGATTTTGTTTAAGTTGGTGGTGTCCATGGCCGCGCCTTGGCCAGGTGTGTCGCTGTGAGAGGCCGTGGTGGGAGTGAGGAAGTGACGCGACCCCTCGGTGGGAGGAAGTCGGCGATCAAGTGAACCTGAACCGTTTGAACAACAAGACGAACCCCGTTAGTGTTTTCCCTGGGAATTAACAGAATGCGTGAGCTTTTTTGACAGGCACACACAATGAACGCTGTCTTCAGATGAAGTTTTAAGCTAAGTACACAGATTAGTTTGCCTTAACTTAAAATGGCTTAAGAATTTCGCACGTACATATACGAGTTCAAGTCTCAACCGTTTCTTGTGGATATCTCGTGTGCCTTCAAGCACTTTTAGGTAGGCAGTGTGAATTATGACCTGATACAAGCCAGCTTTACGACTGTAGGCATAAGCAGGTGTTTTAACGCATACTAAAGAATGCATGTCATAAGAACAGGTAATTATTGGCTTGTCTGTCCTAGTTCTAAGTCCTAACCCTTTACATTTGTAGTGAGGTTACTCCGAGCTATTTATACGGTCTACGTATCGCGGGTCTTGTTACAAGATGGTGGTTGTGTATCACAAATGTAAACACTCCTTTCATTGGCTACATTGTTCTTGAAACAACATTGGCACGAACTCAATAATACGACCATACACGACTGGCCCTTGAAAAATTGCCCAAAGGGATTGCAAGATATATGCTGTCAAAGTACCACGACGAAAACAAACATAGTTTATAGGAGACCGCCGAGGGTTATTGCATAGACAGTATTAGACTGGTCCACTAAATGTTACGCATTTTGATTTCACAAATATGTGCCTTTACGAATGATAAATGATGGTATTTGCCACTGTACAAAGGAAGGTATATATATATATATACACTAAGACTCCGCCATTTCTATACACGTGTCACGCACTGTCACGCATTGCTTACTACCAGCACTTCCTTGATTATGAGTCATGTTATTTTTGGGGAAACGTTTCCTTGTGGGAAAGGGGGAAGCATGAGGGAATTTGAGACAACGTCTTTAGTTAAAAGACTTTCCAAAACCCACTTCTGATCCTCTATGTTGGTTTTAACCCCCCTCCCATGCTCTTTGCAGAGGTTACTAGTACTGTTGGTTTTCAACTGTTGGTTGAATTGTATTTAAATGCCGTATATCGTGTAGCATTGGATAGCGACAGTGAAAAGATGTGTGTCGAAACTTTTAGGTTTAAAAAAAAACAACATTTAAAGCACAAAGAAAAAAGGTTTAACATATCATTGAATCCACATGTCATGACCTGAAATGACGTAATGTTCACCTTACTTCAATGTACACAACTTGCTCGACAAGGTCTATTGATGTCAACGTTCAAAGGACAGCCACAACTTGCACAATACAAGGTGCGAATGCCGTAAAAATTCGCCTGTTTTTGAAATGCTACCTGTCCATTTCACCATAAAGGCGCGGTTAGCCGTTAGCTAACGACAATAAAAGATCTGCAAAGCTCACCTTGTGATTGGAACAGAGAACCACTTGTCAGAGTTTTGAGACTGTCTACTTGAATATCCCAAGGGGCCACGTTTTTCCAACTGTAATCGGGTCAAAGTTGACATGCCCTTTTATGGACGAGCTAAAGACAGCCTCAGTTCAGGAGTGCATTTGTGTGAAACAAACGTGTCTATTGTTTTCTGTGTTAGAACAAGGGGTCATCGGCATAGTATCTTGCTGGTAGCGTATACTACCTCCGGTGCATAACTCCCTTGGCAGCAAACCTCCCTCTTCTTTATAATAGTCCGAGTAAAAATAGTGTATTACGTATCAACGCTCCCCCGACAAACTAGTAACGCCGCCCCTGCCACACAAGTCTGCGAAGGAAGCTAAATATGTTGATAAATAGGGAAGTTAACCTTCCATTGGGCTGACTTTCTTGATTCTTCCCCTTTTTTTGCCGAATTCTAGCATCTGTACCTCCGTAGGATCCCGTAGGAATGCCTGGTGGAGGCTAGTCTCCATCAGACTCTTTTGCAGGCTGAATAAATAGTAGAAATCGGCTAAGGGGAACATCATTGGCCAGAGGAGTTGGCCAGCCATAGAGGGTCCAGCTTGCCTGTCGGCAGCCGATTTCTACTATTTATTCAGCCTGCAAAGGAGTCTGGTGGAGGCTATCATACGCGTACGTCCACAGTGATGCAGTCAGTAGCTACACTGTTGGGTGGCGCTTTGGTCGATTTCCTCCTGACGCTTGAGTGACATCTCTAAGTGCATAATGTATCAAATCGACGTGCTGTCTCGTTAAATATGATATATCGTTTACGTGTGTTTTACAGTGACATTGTAGATACATTTTTTGACTCCGATTGCTCATGTGCTACAGATTCTTTCATACATAATGTCATAGGAATCTGGGATGCCTGTGAGCCTTTTTTTATACTTTTAATTGCTGCAATCATATATAGTGAAGATAAAAATTTATTCTATTTTATTTTATTTTATTCACATTTATTTTTCGAGGATTGGGCAAAAAGATAAAAATTTCTTCAACTAAAAGAAACTGCTAATTGAAAATTAATATCATGACAAACAACCACCCTGCATGTGATACAAGAAACGACCTACAACTCAGAAAATTATGAACATAGTTTTTATTTTGCATATGGAAATCAACGTAATGACGATAAGGTTCAATCAAATTTAAGGGTGAATGATATACTACTATTGCTCTTGATAAAACTATCTTAGACCCTGTGTATATAACTGATAAGAATAATAATATGAATATGAATAGTGCGGAATATTGACAGTTATTGGGGGGCATTTTTTTCCAATTAATAATACTATGCTGTGCCTGGAATACTACAATAGTAAAATCTTAACAAATCACATGAATACAAATGTAATCATATCATTTTGTATAAACAATTATTCATTAGTGATCTTACCGCATTACATATAAGAATTCACTAACGTTTATTTCTTATAAGATGATAATATGCATAATAAAAAGTACGTTTCATTGTTGCACGATACAACATAAAATAAGAAGCTTGTAGTCCTCGAATTTGTTAGCCTTGAATGTTTCATTCTTTGCCATTACTATTGAGTGAACTTTGAGGTAGATTGATATTGTTTGGGAGCATAAATATATGGCCGAACTTTAGCCATTGATTCAATGAGGAAAAAATACAACTTAAGTACACAGCACACACAGTAATAGTACACAGCAAATTGACAAGGTTCAAAATATGGCATCTACTGATACATAACTACAATCTACCTAATACAGGAGTGAGTAGTATCTAGTATGGGATTAAAATGTGCTGTCACAATCATTCGAGGAATTTCTAACGTCTCGACATTCTTTGATATATTTTCTTAAGTATACCATTCAGGTGCTGTCACATAGCATTATCGATTATGTAATTTATTTTGCTATTCGATGTGTGTATCAAAAGTTCCCGCCAATTTCAACAGACCCTCCTGGCTACACCCAAGGCATGTTGAAGCTGTCGATGACGTGATTTTGCGTCCCAATCTTCATATGCCCGTCCACATCTCCCACGAATTTGTCCAGAAGACTCGCCAGAGACCCGGACCTCTTCTTTCGACCACGTTTTCGCCGTTTAGTAGATGTTCTGGTCGGTTGTTTGGCCTCGGAGTTTGTCTGAACCCCGTCAATAGTGGTTAACCACGGCGTGTTGTCTCCGCCGGTGGCGGGGCCAGCCTGGCCGTCGGACGGGTTCTGTTCCGGCGGGACTTCGTCAATCACAACAAACGAGTCGACCTCGTAGTTAGAGTACTCACACTCGGGGTTTTCAGGGACGTTAAAAGTCGTAAAACTCACGTTTTCAGACTGTGCTGCAATACATGGAATGTCCGCCTGAAGCTTTACACTGTTTTCCTCCAGTAAGTCGATCACACGAACACAGAGACTTGCGGTGTAGAAATCTTCGGGTAGCCCGTTCACTCCTCCCGGGGGAAGGCCGGTCAACTTCCCGCAAACGGGACAAACGATAACGGCTTCCCCCAGCACGACGTTACGGAGACAGGGTTCACAGAACGTGTGTCCACAAGTTAGTGTCCTTGGTATATGGGCGAGAATGTGGAAGAACCCCATGTGTATTTTGCAGACGAGGTGCTCGTGAATAAAGTGTTGTACCAAACTGCCAGGCACTGCTGCTTCCAGTATTGCCTTGGTGACGTCGACGTCTATTTTGTGTGGACGTGGCAACTCTGTGTCTATATCGTCCGTTTTATGTGGGCATGGTAGCTCTGTGTCTGACTTTTCTGTCGTCCCTGTAGTTGTTACCGCTGCCCCTACTACTGTTGACAAAGACGTCAGTGTACATGTATCTGTTGATTCTCTTGTCGCCTCTGTTGGGACTGATATTTCTGTATGTGTTCTTGGTGTAGTTTTCTCAAAATGACAGACGGGCGTAGATTTTTCTTCGAGCATTTCTGTCGGAGATATTTTCTCGTTGCACGTTATTTTCCTGGATAACGCTTCACTTGCAGAGTTTGCCATTGTTGTTGTAGACGTCGTGACCATTGTCGTGGTGTCTGGTGCCATTGGCGCGCTTTTTGTTGTCAACATGAATTCATTTTCCAGTAAAGTTCCTGCGACCACAATGTCTAATTTCCCCTTCGATGGTGGAGCTTTTTTCATCCTACCGACCGAGTCGACAGTTTGTCGTGTTGTGGCGTTGCGTCTGGAGAAATCCGGACAAGGCCGGTTGCGCCTGGATAAGTCTCCACTTGATGCCAACACACGGGGCGACGTCAGCGTACTCATTTTCCTACTTACGTACCCTATCATCTTTACGCCAGCTCTGCATTGGTCTCACAGCCGATGTTTCAAACAAAGAAGTCTTCAGCTCTTTCTCCGGAGCTGTCCCGGCATTGCGTAACCGACCGGTCACGGACAAAGCACAATATCGTCTGCTCAGGCTCGGCCTTGTCAGAAAGTATTATAGTGACGGGCCATTCAAATGTAATTGCACGTGTCTCTGTACTTCCTGAAGATGTTACATTCGGGAAACAAGTGTGTATAAAGAGATATTATATGCACAAGAAAAGTATACGTGCACAATGCACCTTGTATGATATTCGTTTATGAGATTTCTTTGTTATCGATACTATTTTGTAGTTATAATTGTAGTATAGATTAGCCTTGTAGTATTCTTGATTCACTGCCATACATCGTACCATGTACGATTGTCGAGCAATAAAGTTTATTCATTCTTCTACTCCTGCCAATACGGCAGTGATGTTCCCAACAAATGGACACATGTACACCTTTACCTTCTAAAAATTCTACGTACCCATTGACGAGACACAAGGTATTGTCTCAGCAAGGCCATGTAGGTGAGCTCATCATCACTACCGCATGACGCCCTGGGCAGGTACGAGTACTAGTATTCTGGGCGGGTGCCAAGTCTTTCGGGTCTATAATAAACCCCGTGTGACGGGCCCAGGTGGCTTGTTAGTTACGCCTGACATTAACGGTAGACCTAAAGGTTAGCTGATGCAACATCGCCTCATACACAGAGGTACAATTATAGCGAGATGTACCATGTACCGGAATTATCAACCAAGTGTTCAAAAACTCGCCCCCCCCCCAGAACTATCGCAGAGTGGAACTCGCTACCATCAAGTACAGTAAGGGGATCATCGCTAGATAGCTTTGAACAATGTTAAGAATTAGATGTGCAAAGGCCAGGTGTAACAAGTTGTTCGGTGTAATATAGCCAGGTGCCGCCGCGCCGCGTGCCTGCGAAGCTGATGTATTACCGTACTGTACCATACGGAATACCAACCATACCAACAACCGGAGAGCCTGGGAAAAAGTGCGATTTAGGAGATATCATCCGTCAAAGCGAAATACTTGACAAGTACAATCCTCGACATCACATTGCATATCATTATTTTTTTTAAATCACGCTCAACAATGTTTCCGTTACATCAACAGTTTCTGACAAGCTTGAAATGAACCCTCTCCGTTTAATCTTCATAGTCACGTAATTAAGAAAGTGGAGAGGTTTCTTTTCAATTTCTACTTCTGTAAAAGATAATCTATCGTGCCAAAGGTCTGAAACTCTTAGAATATGAGAAAGGTCGCGTTATACTCAGTATTTTCTTAAGGTAACCAACGTAGCTAGTTTGTTCTCAGACTATTTCAAATGTTTCAAATATGAAATGAGAACGGAAATGTGCTAAGCTATAAGAAATGTGAGAAAATGTCAATATCAGAAAGATTATCCAGACTATTGTTTGCTTTGCCCCCTCCCCCCACTCCCCCGAAATCGCCTAGGATGCCTTTAAGTCAAATGCATATTTGTAGCGTGGGGAAAAATGTAAATACGTTGTTCTCAAAAGTGTGTCTATTTCAGGACAAGGTCGAAACGTTTGGAAGTAATTATCAGACACAGCCATCCATGATGCAGAGCCTTCGTGTCCTTGTCCTGATAAGTATAACAACGATCTACATACGTGACAGCTAGGCTTGGTCTCGTCCTCTACTACGCTAGGAGTCAACGTGTAAACTATCTATTAAAGACATCCAATACAATCTCAGTGTGGCAAAGCTGGATTTTAGAAGACAATTTTCTGGTAAATCTTTTTGGCGTATTAATTTGAATCGACCCTATCCCATAGCATACCTGAGGCAAAAAAATGCGATGTCGCTGAAAAATCTTTGCTTGTTTCGTATCCTAAGCTGGCTCTGATTGTTTATGGGTGGTACCCAAAAAATAAAGAGATGCCTCACGTAGGTTATTTTGGGGCTATTTCAAATACCCCAAGTTTGAAATATAATTATGACGAAAAGGTGCTAAGAAATGGCAGCAAATGTCAATATCAGACACATTCCTCATCCAGAATGTTTTTGGTTTTGCTGCCCTAAATTGTATTGAATTCCCTGCGAGAGACATAAAGAAGCAAACGGCTACGTTTTATAAGACACCGTCACAGAGAGATCACGAAATGCCGTCCCTGAATCTATGTTACGTCCCTACCCTGTCAGAGGCGTGCTATGTCAAACTGCCCCGGGCTGAAGAGATGATGATACCATTATATTACGGGTAGTGTCACACCTTTGTGCACCAGTTTTAGGGACAACTTTACACACGTGGTGGGGAGCTGAAATCATCATCATCATCATCATCTTTTTTTCTTAATCGTGTGTGTCACAAAGTGTGTGTGTGTGTGTCACGGTGTGTGTGTACAGGTCACAACAAAACATAATACAAAGTGAAATGATGTTAAATGTCTGGCTAAAAAACGGCAGTAATTGTCAATATAATTATTAGGCAGATTTCCTCATCCAGAATATTTTGGTTTTGTTTTCACGGTTTTGCCGCCCTGAAATATACACGCTCTGTGGTATGTGTACTTCACAATTGTTAATCTTTTGCAAAGATCCTTAATCTTAAAATTAACATACCAAGAGACATTTCAAGGGCTAGGAATTTAGAATTAGATGAAGTTAGTGTGAATCTGCTATCAAACAGGTCCCACCTTGACAACACAGTAATCACGTGATCTCATACGTCACAGCTCTGGATGTGACGTCACCTCCGGCCTTGTATACCTGGAGGCACAACTGTCCTCATTATAATTATTGTCCATCTCCGATAAAAACACGAGTCTGACACGTGAGGTCTCAGTGTTTGTTTTGAAGCCCCTGCGATAGGACCTACCCTGTACTACTACAGACATATACTAGTACTCTCCAAAACAACATTTCTTGTTACAAGGTACGCTTTCGACTTTTTTGTTTCTCTCTCAGTTCCCCTATCAGAGCAATTTAGTTTAGTAACTTAGAAGTCACTCATTTTACTTTTTTTACAATGAAGATTTGTAGAAATCGGTGCATTTCCACTAGTAAATTGTACCGATTGTAAGCACTAGTATATATGTCTATGTCAGACATATACATGTGGTCGACGAACATTGTGTGCTAACATTTCCTCTTCAATTTTGCAGAACTTAAGTTGCAGTTGAAGACGTCAACATGAGAGAAGACATCTACAAAGACCTGGAGTGCGACTTCTTGGCGCAGGTGGAAGACACGCTAGAACAGACGAAGCTCAAGTCGCAACAGGACAAGCAACTCCATGCCATCCTGACGACGTTCGAGCGAGAGAACCTGACCTGTTGTATCCACCTGGGTACCTACGAGAAACACCCCCGCCTGCTGCCGTGTCTGCACCACTTGTGCGACGACTGCCTGGCGGCGCTCATGCGGGACTGCATCGCGTTCCGCTGCCCGCTGTGCATGAGGAGGTACATGGTGCCGTGGAAGGGGATCGAGGCAGGATCCCAGGCTCCTGCTGCTGAGGAACAAACTCAAACAGGCGATGAACAACCGCAGGGCGCAGGGCGACACTACGGCAGCTTCTGCACAGCGCGTTCTTACCGTGGGTCTGAGCAAGGACGTTTTATGATTTTATGTTGAAGCTGAGTGGAACACTCCCGTCACGTGTAACGTGGTCACTAGCTCCCCGGGCTAGCGCTACAGCTTCAGCCGCCTGGACAATTAGCCTTCCCCAGTGATTTTGCCTTCTTGGGGAACAGCGCTACTTTATTTTACGGCGTTACAGGTGCTTGCAAACAATAAGGAAGGTTGATTGCAAATAACGATTGTTTTTTTTTTAAATTCCATGCAGTTACATTGTTTGCTAAATAACGTCTACTTGTGTATAGCTTGCTAAAATCCTACTTCTGTAAATATCAAGAGTTTATATCGTATATAAGTAAAGATTTTGCTTAGCATACAAGCATATGTGTATGAAAAATGTATTTAATTGTAAATAAGTTTTTCCTGCTCCTCAAAGAGGACGTGCAATAAGTTAAAAAATATAAAAAGTTACAGAATATTTAATTGTAAAGACAGCAAATCGCTGACAATGGAAAGTACGCAAGTTGCTTTTTAGCGTCTTGGACTCTTGGTACATGTAGCTATCTGTCACAAAATAAAAATCTGTCAAGGCCACTTGTTTCCTGATAGAATTCCTCAGTGTTTTTCTTTGAGCAAACAACGAACACCAAACACCTGCATATATTGCTTTGGGCATTGGCTATTGTATCATCTGTCAGTGCGCCATGTTGGAGACCTCGCTTCTTGAAATCTTCACACGTACGATCCACGTAACGAGGAATCCTAATTTAGTATTTACTCAATCTCAGAACATGGAGAAAAAAAGTCATGATCACAGTTGCGTATTATAAACAACAACATGCTTAATTGTCCGTCACCTAACCATCTGGTATTTTGAGTATTTGAAGGACACCTATGGCGTTAGTTGGTGCATGCTAATTATGACGTATCAACCTTGGAACGATACAATAGAGCGGGATTAGATCACACCCTAAGCTCATATTACTAGTATACGTATCTCCATTAATTGGTATAGAATTACATGTGGGATAAAATAGGTCATGGTATATAAGTGACAAACATATGGCATAGGTATATGAAGGCTTGTGACTGAAATGTTCGTGTAGGTTGCACGTACAAAGACATTGCTAAAGAATAAAAACTAACAATGCTCGCAGGTCGCAAATCTTAACTTGAAGCAATGGTTAAGATTTAGCTCAATGGGTTGGAGAAACCAGACATTCTATATCCAAAAGTAAACGGAAGAGAAAAAGTCTGTGGGCTAAGACAAAGAGGTACTTAGAATATACTGGGTGTGACTTGGTTTGAAATTGTTCAATTACACCATCTAAAGCACGTCATCACGGCCCACTCCCGCCTGCCAGATTTAGAAGTTTACCGTAAACACAGCGGAGACAGCCGATAGAAGGATTCCCAGGGGACTTGAGAATCAGCTCTGCGTCAATCTAGTCCCCGGAAGTGACGCAAATGACAAGACGGGCTGTCGCCAACTTCCTGCATTACCTTTCATCCGCGCTAAATACGTAGAATAGGAATGACGTGTTTCAAGCAGATTCAATTTCCTCCATTAGTAGTGACTAGGTTTTCACTGTGACAAGAATAAACCGAAGTTCTGACACATCCTAGAACTGCACGCACGACATCCACCTGTTGCGTCTACTGGCTGCAATTCTGGGGGCGTTGCTAGGGGTCTCTTCTGCTACCACCGTCCAGGCCTGCCACCGTCAAAACAGCTGGCATGACACAAGTGGCTTTGCAGGAAGGTTCTGGAGGCATTCACATCATTCAGTTGTATATATATAGTTAACGTTATATATAACGTTATATATATTCTGGACGTCTGCATTTCAGTCGCATCCTCCAACAATAAAGCAGCAGACAAACCTGAGTTCATAGCCAAATTTGCGTGAAAAGCGGGGGATCCGGAGCAGAAACGAACGAAAGACAGAAATATGACAGGGGAAGGAAAGAGAGATAGAAAGAAGAGAGTAACGGAGATAGAAAGTCAGGTAAAAGGACAACACGGAAGCCTGTAGAGGAAGCAAGACAGTTGTGCTGTTCAACTTCTATTCAGTACACTCATCGAGTCAAATCCGTGCGTTCTATGGGGATAGAAAAAAGATAGAAGTAGAAGAGTCAAAGGGTGAATATTTAAGGGAGAAAAAAATCGCTGATATCATCTTGATCACGCACACACACCAAATCCAAAGGTATATGAACACGAAGTTTGCAGGTGATTTTGTGTCCTATTGACTTCCATAAAGTTTTTCGAAAAGCAGCATTTGTTGTTTGGTCTGACTGATATTTGTACAAAGCGATACAGATTTGCGAATAAAGAGTATTCTAGATCTGGGCAAAAAAAGTCGATATAGAATTAATTCGAGTCGATATGGAATTACTAGTGGGGGTTTGACATTGGATCATTGGATGTCGAGGGTGGGGCGCGAAAAACTATTACCCACAATGCAGCGAAGATGATAGGGCCAATAATTTAAATGGCAATGTATCATATCTTTCACACTGATGGAAAATGGAGTTGACTACAATCTAGGAATGTAGGTTGTTAGATTAAGCAAAGATTTAGAAAACTTTGTAGCTGTAGCAGCGATTGTTCAGCCTGGGGCCATGGAGTGCAATGCACATTTCCCTGCACGAGCTGCTCTGCCTGGAAACCACTTGAGATCGGTTACCATCCTGGGAATCGATTGACCAATCAGAGCGCAGGGCTAAATAAATTAATTGCACCTCTGACCAATCAGCGTCGGGGAAACCGCCCCGCAATTATCACGTGAAGTTGGAGTCTGGCGAAAATGGCGAATGATTTTCTATCCTTGATGTTGTTGTTTTACCGACTTTTTCCTCAAAATCTCCACAAACGGAAGGAGAAAGAGCAGAAATTTTGCTCAAAGACGAAAGTATGGACTGATCTACAATAAACTTGTGATTTTCTCAGCGCTTCACGGCCCCTGAAGCGAGCAAAACTGCGCACACAAATGTGGTAGTGAGCCGAGGGCTGTTGTCTGGTGTGTCATTCAATCTGGCCAGGGTTGATTATGTAGGGGGCGACTCCCGGGCCTTTGATCGCTCAGCTCGGCGGCCATAGCTTCGTCCGTGGTTTTGCCAGTACCACAGGCCGCCAAACCGCCCGAATTCAGCCCGATTTCCACATGACCGAGGCAACTCTAGTCCAACATGGCCCATGTAAGTGCTGAATATTACCTCCTCGGTAACATGGTGTCTGTGCCGTGCGCATTTCGGGGTGGATTTTATTTTCGGGGCGCCCCAAATTCCCCGCAATTTCCTGTTCCTTCTGCGCCTAGCCATCCGCCCGAGACGCAGCCAGTTTTCTTCTACATATCCTCTACAAATGTAGGGAAATCTACCCAGACAAGGTAGGCCAGATAGGTGGTCACAAGTGGGACAGATCTGCCCGAGAAAATGGGTCCAATCGGTCGGTAATTCCTCTCGGTGCGGGGTAGCAGATGGGGCCGTCGACAGATTGTGCTTTGTTCGGGGGGGCCCCGTCCTCCCCACCGCAAATTGTATGCATAGTTTGGCGCACAAACATAGCCTGGGCTGGTCAGTTCAGCCCGGAATTCTTCCTGGGCGTTTTTCGGGCAAAAATGAGGTACGATACCGTCCGTTTTGTGGTTTTTCTTCGGTAGGTGTCGCTGATAAAGCGGGGGACGTCTCCTAGGGTGGGAGGGGGGCAGCGTCTGCGTTTGGTGGTTTCATTTCCTGTAAATTCCTCAATTTTGTGCCTATTTTTCCTGTGTGTTTATTAAAGATATCGGGCGATGTTATTAAAAATATGGCATTCAGGTATCCTTAGAAAATATTGAATTCAAATATTGGTGATTTTGTCATCAATTTGGACAACAAATAGGGCTATATTTGTCTGAATTGAGTTGCCAAAATGACCTCTCCTGATATGACATTGTCTAATAATATTCCAAAAATATGCTAGAATTGTGCTCCAAAATGTACAAAAATCGCCGAGCAGAGTCTTCATTTTACGCATTTGTATGTTTTGATTCATAAATTTGACTATACTTTGGAACAGAGGTCAAATTTGGCCTCATTTATCAGAAGTTTTCGCTATTTTTGCCATCAAAACATTCTGTATGAAACCAAAATAGTCCCCATCAGCCAGTCTCTATGTCCCTGGTATGTATCATATGATATCAATGATTAATATGACATTGGCTCCTCTCAACATGAAAAATGGATATGTTGGTTAGAGTCAATATGGTATTTTATGATTGATATTACTATGAAGATGACACCTTCATAAAATGATGTCAGCAGTTTTCATTGCCAAGGTTGCATGTCGGGGTCATATTGTATACCATATAAACATTACGATATATTATTACATTAACGTTACTGGTATTAGGAACAGTTTTTTGTACTCTCCAAGTTAGCAGTTTGGAATTCGGATTCAGTTAAAGTTGTTTACAATTCTGTGTATTGTAAAATTTGTGGGATTTCTAAAATAGTATCATCAGCCTTAACCTTAGTCATTTTATTTATTTGTCATAACAGATGCTATCTTATTCTATAAATAGTGATGATAATTCTCACCTTTGCTTCATCTTAAGAGTTTATTTTTGCCTTTTTTGTCAGGTGTGAATAGTATTTTCATCTTGTGTAATACCCCAGAGTTGTTTTCTGCAGGTAATGTTATACGTCACATAGGTTTAAAGAATTTAATAGTAATAGTAGTAAACTGTGTATTCACATGTTTGTAAATTTAAATTCAAATCCTATGTGCCAAGCAGATGTTGATTCGAGATTATACAGGAAACCCTCCTACAGACATCGTATACTACAACACGTACAAGATAAAAAATCTACATGTATTTCCAAATGAATGAGTGATCACCCAAATTGTCATTTAAAACTATGTTTTATGAGGTGTATTGTTTCTTACCATCATGCCATCAAGAATGGATTGAGCTACTATTGCATTGTATCATCTGTTTTCCAAATGAAATAATTTCTCACCAACTTGTATATACTCGGAGCAATATTAATCCTAAAAAAATATCCAAGCAGATATTTTCATCATCACGACTTGTACATAGGTGGGGTTCAAAAAGTAAGACAATACGTCATTGTTTTGAGATTATAATCTGTAGCAAAAACAACTATGCCCTTTAGCTTGGGATAATACCATGTTAGTATGTAGTGTATTTATATGTACTGTAAACATGTTGACTTGTTGAGTAAAACGTTACGTTTGTTCAGTTTGATCAAGGACTGTTTGATCATGAGACCATACCTGGAAAATTCACAAGGAAATATGTCAAAACTGTTATGTGGAAAGAAAACAAAAATAACCACTGTGGTTCAGGTTTTGAGAGGGGGCCAGTGAACATTAAAATAATAAATGGTGTCACGTTTGCAATGTTTTAGATGTTGCAGGAATGGGGGAGGGGGGCAACAGTGCAGGGTAGCCGCCTGCTTTTTTGCTATTGTATAGTTGCAGTCGGTTTAAAATGTCGATTTCAGAGAAGACTCCTTCTACTTGTAATTTTCTAGATTTTTTAGGGTTGCTTTGGGTTCTCCATGCATTTCTATGCCTTTCTTTGTATTCTGATCATGTATACACAGTGACACTAACACAGTTCCGGGAAAAAAATTGAATTGTAAACACCTGTTCTAGATTTGTATGTTTATGTTATGTACATAGACTCTACCTTTGTTATTTATATGGTTGAATGGTGTCTGAACGTCTGTTTGGTCATTGCCATCTTGTATTTTTTCCTAGGATTTCTGAAACAGCTGTAACTCTATAAGAGTATGAAAGGGAAATTTGATGATTATTTCTCAAGTGTTTGAATGTGACAGCTGTTAGTTAGCTTTTTGCAAGTAAGATGCTTCAGATGGGATCTAAATAGTCTTGAAGTTAGTTGAAAAACAAAAGGCTTTCTGCCAGGATACTGCCCAAAAGGTCATGTTTATCATTACTTAGAACCTACAAGCACATGTACATTCACTTTTTTTGCTTTGTTCTCTTAATTAAGACCAATTATACATAACATGAAAGTGTACATGATGTGTTTTAGTAAGACTAATAGAGCAAATTATTTTCTATATCTATTTCTCTACTTCTACCAGCCAGACTGTTATTGTTGTGTCATTGACCTGAGCCCAGAGGATTACATGTTGATGAATGTAGTTACTTTCATCTCTGAATTGGTCTTCTGGCCAGATGGGTTGTTTGTGGTCTGCTCTACCTTGACCTTAGAAGGACCCGATTACACATGGGCAAAGAACTGACTATGAAAGCTGCGCACGTAAAATTTTCCTGTGTATAAATCGGCCTGTTTTGAAGTCCAATGTACTAGTACGTCAAGAACATATCAGATTGTTTGCCTTGAGGTAAGGTACAATCCAAATGTACTAAAATACCTTCTTGATTTACGTCAAAGCAGGCCGATTTACGTGCACAGCCTGCAGTTTTCGTCCATGCTGCACCTCAGGTTTTGCTTGAGTATAAGTCGGGTCAAGGTCTTGTTTTGAAGTGTAGTTCACTGGTGAGAACAGTAGGGAAAACTCATAACTGCTTCATGTCATCTGTTCTAGTGACCACGCAAGGGACTCATGAAGAAAATGGTCACCAAGTATAGATAGGATTCTTCATGCTTGGGTCTAGCCACCCTCGCATGGGAAAGATACCATCAAACTTCAAAGGGTCCTCCTAAAAGTGGCCACAATAGCCAGGTGGTACAATTTTACCTGCACTTACCCGCATATGCAGGTGGTATTTCGAGCCCTGGATATTGATCACCATGTATATCCAGTAGTATTTCAATTACTTTTCACAGTATTGCATCTGTCTTTCTTCCACATTTCTGTGCCCTAGTGACCCACACACAAACCACTTTCTATTTAAGTAACTCCCTCCCTTTTGAGGCTCCTGATGATACCACAAGATAATACTAAGTAGATGTACTATATAATTATGTCGTACATCTCAAACGTATTGAAAGTTTAATGGGTACAGTACAATGATCATTTTATAGGTCAATAGTCAGGACTCAAAGAACCACCTGCACATGCAGGTTAGTGCAGGTAAAATTACTGTGCAGGTATTTTTGATGTCTACCTGCAGTCCTGCACCTAACCTGTACCAGTCCATATACTGGGTTTATGTATACATGTAGGTGTATATTGGTTATTATTCGCTGCATTGACAGTTACCACCTATGAAGTATAAAGGAAATAATTGTTTTTATTTTATTTTATTCACATGGATTTTTGAGCATTGGATAGGAAGCACTTGTTGTGCTTATGTAAATCCGCTGCTCATAAAACATAATACAAATGTAAACATAAAGATGACATAAAGTATAGCATTAACATAAAATGAAAGTGGCTGGCGCACCAATACCTGGCATAACATTATTGAGATTGGTCAAATCTTCCAGAGTGGTGGATATAGTTAAACACAATATCAAAGATACGGCAGTTGGTAGGGTAAGGGAGGCTGGGGCTACCTGTAAGAAGTAAAGTACATAATGTGGCGTCATTTACGTTGAGTGGGTCGGAAGGAAGTATGTTTTCAAGATGAAGGCAAGATATGGATAACAACATTTTGGTCCTTTCAGTATTATAACATTTGCAGTGTAATAAATAGTGTTCTGGTGTCTCGTTTGGATGCCCACATTTGCACTCGGGACTACTGATACAGCGATGCTGGAATAGGTGGTAGTTCAGCTGGCTGAAACCAAGCCTGAGTCTGGTAAGGTGAGTCACATGGTGTCCGTGGCCGTGAGAGTAGTGGGGATGTCTGGGCATGCTATCAAAGCAAGACTCTAATTCATTTTTGAATGCACGAATGGATGGGGATTCTTTGGCGGTCTGGGGTAACTTGTTCCAAGAGAAAACAGCAGAAGGCAAGAAAGATTTTTTGTACTTTTCAGTTCTGATGGTAAGAGGGAGATAATTCTGGTCAGTACGCAGGCCATAAGGGGTGGAATCACGGATAAGTGGGGGAACCAAGTCTTGTAGATTTTTGGGAACTAAGCCATTGGCCATTTTATAAAAGTGAACAAGTTTGATAATTGTTAAGGTTTCTGAACAGTTTTACTAAAATATGATATACTTCCTAAATTCTGAGTGGTGCAGGTAAATTTGTCTGGTGCAGGTAATTTTGAGCCCTGATAGTAAAGTACAAAAATGTAGTAGTAACT